CGTGGCGGGCCCAACAGCAAGTAGAGCCGTTTGAGAGCGGATGTTTCCTCGTATTTTTCTCCTCCTTCCGAGCTCGGATGAAGAAAGAGGTCGTGGAGGGCGTTGGCATCCTCCGTAGATTTTTCCGGTGCTAACCGGAGCTAGAGGTAGACTGCGCTTCAGAGTGTGCTGCATCGGCGTCTTCGTCAGAACAACTGATGCGAATAGGAACGTTTAGTCGAGACTAGGGGCTGGTCCCCCTGACCGTTTCGCGGACCAGCCCCCCGAGGTCTCCCAAGGCACGCTACGCGGGGGCCCTTCACTGGAAAAAAACCACATTGGATCTAGAGTCCAGACTCTTGAGAACATTGAATAGAAAAAATACTCTTGATTCAATTAGAATTTTGCTTAAATCAAAAGGAAATCCGCTCAAATTAAGAGGCTTGGTTCTTGATCTAAGCAAAAATCCGATGGAATCAAGAGTATTTTTTCTTGTCGATGTTTTTAAGAGTCTGGACTCTAGAACCAATGTGTTTTTTTTTTTTCCAGTGTAGTTAATCTGAATAGAGCGGGCTCATCTAAATACTCCTGTTTAATGTCTAAGTAAACTTACTTTTTAGTCTTCGGTCCTGGTGTGTGCAGTGTGTTCTGAAGGGTTACATCAGGACCGAAGACCAAAAAGTAAGTAGGCAGTCACCTGATGAAGTAACCGTGAATTTATTCAACCTAAATACTCTCTCCTATCGATAGCCGCTGAAATCCTGAAAGGCGGCCCGGTAGACAAAAAATGAACATTCATATTGTTTCAATGGGATAAATTCGCATCTTTCTCGCGTACTTTATAAAAAAACCCGGGTCATATTCCCAAAATCTGATGAGAGCGGGCTCATCTACGGACTGTCGCCTGTCATTAGACGCTTTTTTTTTAAATGTTGGTTTTTAGGCCTTATATCCAGACTCCGGAGGATACTGCGGCCTTGGAAGGGAGCTGAAAAATGGAAAGTCATTTTAGTTATACAATAGCCGCTTAAATCACGGAAATCGGCCCTGTAGAACAAACTGCGACAGAATAAATGAAAATTTAGGGAGTCAGAGAGCGTAAAGTAATGAATGAACGTATTTTCTGAGAATCGAGTTCTCAGGAAACCCAACCAATCAAGATTTACGAAAAAAAGAAGAAAAAAATCAATACCAGCTTGCTAATATTTTTCTAACTTTTTAAAACTGTGAAACAAAATGTATTCACAAAAAAATACTTAGTTTCAAGTACCTAGGTACTATCCCTAACGAAACAAAAATAATCCGGTATGGAATTTTTTACCTAAACCAGTCCGCAGAACCGGCTAAAACTAGACCGGAACTTTTTACGGAACTCCTTCAGCTTGTTTTTGCTTACTTTTCGAGTGTGTCACTTCACTCCAAACAGCTCGATGCATAAATCAAGCTTAAGCGTGTGTGATTTTTATCAGTTTTTGTAGCCATTGCGAAGATAGAGACCTTCTTCCTACCTTAAAAATGTTGGACAGAAACGTTGCGAGTAAAGATGTTCAAAAATTAAAAACCCAACAGTATATTTGACGTCCCAAATCTTCCGTTTAATACGCATGGAAATGACTGGGAAAATGTGCGCCGAAGACGTACATACCCCTCCTGAATTATATCTAACATTGATCAGTCTCCCGTGCTTATTTTTGCAACATTTTTAAGACTTCATTTTTCTTGTGAAGTCACAGCTGATCGTGAGTGTCCAGTTCACACTAAAGTTCAAATTTTCAGAAAATTGCCCAAATTAATCCTGATGTGCCCCCTAAATCTATCGATACAGCCAACAAAGGATTAAATTCATCCAGGCAATTGCAAGTTTACCTTTCTTTTTTTTCTCCTTTTTTTCATCATTTTTGAATCGTAACATCGTTTGCACTAATGCAAGCCGCTTTCTTATTCCTTCCTCCCTTCAAATATTTTTACGAGCTTGGTACACCTCTGGTGTCTAGCACCAGGACTTCCCCTACTTCATCAGGATTTGCGGAAAAATCGGTCTTAAAATCAGGATTTGAAGAAAACTCGGTCGTAAAATCAGGATTTGAGAAAATTCGGCCGTCCGATCGGATTTTTTTATGCTTTCGCAGACGCGTATGCACTTGGAAGAAAAAAACCACATTGGATCTAGATTCCAGACTCTTAAAAACATCGACAAAAAAAAGTACTCTTGATTCAATCAGAATCTAGCTTAAATCAAGAACCAAGCCTCTTAATTTAAGCGGATTTCCTTTTGATTCAAGCAAAAATCCGATTGAATCGAGAGTATTCTTTCTTGTCAATGTTTTCAAGAGTCAGGACTCCAGATCCAATGTTTTTTTTTTTTTTTTTCCAGTGTGCAGAAATTTTAATTTTTCTCCGCAACAGATCAGGATTTAGGAAAATAATGAAAGCAGGATTTAGCAGTCAAAAATCCGGAAAAATCAGGATTTCCCGACATGACAAAAAACTAGATACCCTGCCTGGTTCCACCTCGAAGCACAATTCTCGGCGAAGGACGGGCGGGAAGCAGCGAAAATTCGCGGCGTCAGCCGATGGATCCAGTTGAATCCAGTAATCCTCTGTTTTATCAGATCCAAACTGATATCTACGCGTTTTAACTATTTCGCGTCTGGTGCGTCCCGGGATTAGTTCGGCGAGAAAACAGGGACCCCGCGCGCTGCTATTGCTAACGCTGCGAGTGTCATCGTCGCTCGTGTCGTCCTACCTGCCCGCACGTCACGAATGCCGAGCCCCCCTCCCCCCTTCCCCCCGAAAGTGGCTCCAGCCCCCACATGGTTCCCCTTAGTTGCCCCCCAAACGAAGCTTCCAGAGTAGGGTGTCTACAAGTCCGGAAACAGTACTGATTTTTCAAGGGCGGTCCGGAAGTACTGATAAAGTGCGGAAATTTTGCAAGAAAGTCCGGAATTTTTTCATTCTTGTCGCAATTTAAGCGGGAAATTCAAATTCTTGAAATTTTTCGAATTTTGTCGGTCGGAGGTGTTGAAAACGTACTGAATTTTTTTTGTTGAGGAGGTACTGAATTTCTTGGGAATGCACTGAAAAAGTACTGTAAAACTACTGATTTTTGGGCAGTCTGTTCTAGTAGACACCCTGGAGAGGGGCCGAGTGCAGAGTTCCCCCGACGAATGAAGGCCCGAAAAAATGAAGGTTTATTATGCCCCTTTTATTATCAGCGAAAAAGGGGGAGTGTCGAGATAGGGATGAGGATCAAATTTTAGTGCCCTTAACCAAATTTAATTGCACTTCCAAGTGTGAGTTATTGATATTTTATAGTCGTGTAAGAGTGTGTGTTTTTGTGCGGGGGAAACTCCCGGGAATTGTGAAGTTTCTCCGGAACCGGAGAAACCCCGACAAAATTATCATTGAACAGACTTTTTTCCGTATTTTTAACGTGACACCATACCAGAACTCAACAAACATGTTGAGATTCTTAACTAATTTTCTTTGAAATGATCAAAATTGGAATTGTGGCACCGTTCATTTTATTACAGTCACTTACTTAAAATGTATCGTACCACGATTCCTATTTTGATCATTTTAATTTACGGTACTACTCAATTAAGAATGTTCGAAAAACTCTCTTTGAATACTACTTTCTTCTCCGACTTTTTATTCAAAAATGGGGCGATTACGCCAAGATGCACAATTTATTGCATATCAACGAATGTTCCTGGGAAATCTCTCCTGAAAACCCTGAAATAGAGCAAGAGATAATCAAAAGCGAAATTGGCGAAAAATCGAGATAGCTTCGTATATTTCGCCCTTCATTACCTGTAGCCTGAAGTATTCGTTTTTCGAATCTATTTTCAGGGAATATTTGGCTGATATGTGCCTCTCAGTGTAATCGCTCCCTCTACCCGTAAAATTGCGAAGTCGAAGCAGGGTTTCAGTGATATCTACTCAATATCGTGATGTTTGTTCATCTTCATTGTGTATCGATTCACCTTAAATCCTTGAAAGTTGTATGTATTGTACATGTAGACTTTCTGAAAGTATGCCAGAAATACTGCCGTACTAAGGAATAACGCCGTATAAACATTCAGGCGATGCCAAATTTCTTTTGATAAAACATGAATTCCCTGGTAAACCAATGAATATTTTCTTCCAATTTTTCAGATAATTTTGTTCGTAATTTCCCCTAATGTTCCTGAAAATTTCAAGGAAAAATATTCATAACTTGACTCGAAAATGAACATTTTATCTGGGGAAATTTGGCAACTCTCGAATGTTCATATGGCGTTTGTCCTTAGCGCGGCAGAATAGGTATTTGTATTCTATAAACGATTGGAAAGTCCGTCAAAAGTTTCTGAGAATATGCCCATGGAAATTTCAATCTGTGAAAAACATTCCACCTGAGAATGTGCAAAGCACATCTACTGCGCTTGGGGAAAATGCCTTGTTTTCCCTAGGATTCTTCTGTTTTTCCCCATTTTCGCGAGGCTTCCTTCATTTCATGCGACCGGTCGCGGAGCCAGGAAGTTCCTGCACCGCTGCAGGATCCTGACCAGCGGGTCGAAATATAAATAAAATGTCTAATGAGACCTGTACGAATACAATTGAGGGCTTTAGGTTTATTTTTTAATGCTGCAGTTGCATAGGCATTAGGATTCCTCCGTAACTACCGGAGCACCGAAGAAAAAACTCCTGAGCTCTTTCATGTTAGGATATTATGTCCTGCTTTTTATGGTTTTTTGGAAGAGGAGATCGCTTGCATCCAACTTGATTAACCGTTGTTGTGATTGTAAACTAATTGAGCCTGTTTGAAAAGTTAGGTATGTGCTTTTCTCCTTTCCCTTTTTCTTTTTTTTTTTTTTAAATGAAACCTACTAAAATTAAAAAAGCATTGAAGTATCTAACAAAGCACTCAAAATGCAGCTCAGCGAAAATTAGACACCCTCTCACTCTTTCTCACTGGACATCAGTGTTTGGATTTCAGTTGTTTCAATGAAAGTAATTTGTGTATTGTCTTTCTGTTTCAGTGGGCCGCGCAGTGTGAGTCAGGCGCCTATCTCTGCGTTTCCTCTCTGCAAGACTTCTAAAAATGAGTCTTCGTTCAACCCGTCTATGACTGTCAAATCGTTTGATGACTCAGATAACAGTAACCCACAGGTGAGGAAATTTCATTCAATAAAAAATATGTCGTAAAGCTCAGCTAACTGACCGATCTAAACAATTCTATTAATTGATATAAGTAAATTCAATCAAATAAAATATATTGGCTCTGAACTTTTGCCTTCATCTCACCATCTCTAGGGACTGAGATGTCACTATGTAGCCTCCACACATTTCAGAAGGTGAAGTTGATGATAGCAAATGCAGACTTGACAATTTTCCCAAAAATGCAGCTGTAACATCACAATTGATTCTTCTGCCTTCTGAAGTTGAATGATTGAAAATCGTATCCTTTAACATATAGTAGACCTTGCTTTCAGAAAAATTCTTGCTGGTAGATGAATATAAATGGAGGGAAGAATTCTATGGATGAGATAAATAAGGCAACTGTGTTATATTTGAGTCATTTTGTGGAATATTGTAACTTGAGTAGCCAATATTTAGATGTGGCTCGTTCAAACCCCTTTTCAAGTGACATGGATTACTTCTAATTTTTAGGTAACATCCTTACTTAAAACATTATTTTCATCATTTCTGAATGAAAGAAAGGTAACTTACTTTTTTTTGTGTTTGAATACTTTTAATTTGACGATACTCTAAGCGTTGATGCCTAAACGAAAGAAAGGTAACTTACTTTTTTCTGTGTTTGAATACTTTTAGTTTGACGATACTCTAAGCGCTGATGCCTCAGCTGTTCAGACGCAACAATGGCTTCAAAATCATCGATTTGGTTCTCACCTGCAAACTTTCTCCAATTTCTCTGGATCCGATGTCCTGCGTCTATCAAGGGATGATCTTATCCAGATTTGTGGACTTGCCGATGGAATCCGGCTTTACAATTCTCTGCACACTAAGTAAGAATTTTTTTTCATCCTCAGTTTTGTTTGACCGATGTCGATTGGACATGACAAGACTAATAAGATTTTATGAAGATATGTGATTGGCCAGTCGCAGGAACGCAGATCCTGCCCCCTCAGGCCAGATAATCGCCTGGTATTCGGTCAACAAAGGGTCCTTTGGAGATTAATTACGTGAGTCAGCGGAATCCATGACCTGCAATGGACCAATCACATATGACGAATGAACAACAGATAAATTCAATAGACAAATACTAGTCGCAGGAACTAAAGTTCTGGGGCTGTAGCTTTCCTGATCGGGTTTTTAACTTTCTGCAAAATGTCTTATTACCTCTATGATGAAAAAACGAAAAACTTGTCCTTTCTTACATTGTAACTGTACACTGTAAGAAAGAGTAAGTTTTTCTGTTTTTTTTTTTTTATTATCAAGGTACCAAGAAAGTTGTCAAGACAAATACAGAAATTCAAGAATCAGGCTACTGTACCATTATTATTTTTGAGTTCATGGTCTTTGACTCCCAAAGGAATGTGAACATTATTATTTGAATTTGGTCTAAACTTATAATTTGACTTTTTTCAGAGCAATTGCTCCAAAATTAACCATTTACGTGGCAATGAAGCAAACACCAGGCGTTTACCAAGCAATGTACCTCCACAATTTGTCAGGCCATGACATGGTATCAAAACTTGCCGGCTTGCTGGGTGTTGCCGCCAATCAAATTAATGACATTTATCTCCAAGGACCTAATAACATTCATGTTGTCATCAGCGATGAAGTTATCAAAAACATGAAGGACGAATCTGCTTTCACCGTCGAAGTGTTTCCAGGTACCTATTCTTACTTGCTCTAGTACTGTTACGCCATCTCCAATGATGAAGCGGTGTTTTAAAGCCATGGCTTGTCCAGATAGGGAGAATCAGGGATTCAATATTAACATTAGGAATGCTACTGGAATGAAAAATCTGAATGTATGCTCAAGAATCGGCTGAAAGATGAAATAAATTCGATATTCAGATCTGAAACTCCAGAGGGACACATTGTTTTTCCCAAGAAAGTCCTTACTAAGTGGGCAAAAACATTGATTCCTCATCATAGAATGAGCTTCTGAAAATCGTGGAAAAATCAAGGAATGAGGATGGCCAAGAATTCTTTCAAGAATTGCTTTATTCTTTTGGAAAAATAGCTGAAAATCCTGGCCCGGAATTAACTGAGAATGTTTGTTTAAACAACAATTGTTGAATGTCTATTTTTGAACACCCTGTGAAACCAAAAAATGCCCCTTATTTTCTATCTGATAGTATGCACTGTACCAACTAAGCCTCAAGTATTATTTTAACGATGGTTAATTGAACTTCGAGCTTGTGTTTGACTTTGAATGGGTCGTTGGACTGAGTCTAAACGTCTGAACCAGAAGATACGTCAATCAACACCAACGTTAAAATTCTCTCACTTCAAAACCTTTCATAGAAAGTGATTCACACAACAGGAAGTTGGAAAATCCATTCCTAAACGAGATTGCAACGATTTTTATTTCTTACAGACCAAGTAGAAGTGTGATTATTCAAATGATGTCGCTTGTATTTTTGCCATTTAACCAACATTAATTTTAAATTTAAATATCTTATTTTGGAGCTGATTTCTAGACCCTTTGCGGTGCAATTCGTTTTCTTTGTGCTTGGAAAAAAAGAAAAAATGATATGTTAGGCTTTAACTCATATACCTTGTACAGAGACCCATTGAATGTCAAATTTCTCCCAAATTAAAATATTTATCAATCATTCATTTAAATTAATTCATACAAATTTTTGCCCTCTATTTTTACTTTGTTCCTACAGGCAGTATGTTTCACTGTTTTGCTCATCACTTTTTTTCTATTTTGTATTTTTTTCAGATCAAGGAGGGGATAAATTCAGGTTACTCCTGAAGCCCTCTCCGACTCTCCCATTGGTCAACTGACAATCGGACAAGATTGAACATGTAGATATCATCTACGTCATTTCTATGTAAGAGCAACAATGAACTAACTCTGCTCCCTCTATTTAGTCATAATTTTATTTATCTTATTTAACTCTAGTTTTATAACCACTGAGTTTATTTCAACTTTATCCCTGTAAGTTTCCAAAAATGCAGTATGAATTCTTGTCGCTGAGCAAGTTATTCACTGGCGATATTTACACTCATCGGAACGGTTTATCATATTTTTCTTTTTATTACACATTTCAATTAATCTCTCTTTTATATCCTTCTATTACGTTTGTATGTTATGTTTGCTTTAATTTTACCCTTTTGTTTATTCGTTATGATTATGATTTTGTATTTTTTGTGATCTGTGTTCGGCCTTCACAGAAATATTCCTCGGTTCAGGGTTAGAGAAATCGCGTTCCTCGACGATGGCATCAGAATTTTTTCCATCAGATCATTTAAACGAAGCTGACAAAGAGGAAAACTCCTGCATTCCCACCGTTTCAAACACTGCACGAGTTTTAGTAGCATTGAGCATTTTTTAGAGGTACCTTCTCTAAGTTTCAGACAACTGGTATAAGGGGCTAAATTTGACAGTTGTTTTTCTATCTCTTTATGTTCTCAATTCCATCAGTCCACTACTTGTAAGTTTTTTCAGATTCACCCTCCTGTCGTCATTTTTCAGGGTTGAGAACCTCTAAATTTTGCTCTGCTGTTAACGCTCTAACCCAAATGCTCTTGTTCATCCCTCACTGAGGCGAAAGCATCGATGATGAAACTGCAATAAATTGTATCTCAGTCAGCGGCATTGGCTGACTTCCTGTCATACTTCATTTCTACATGAAGAACAACTGAATATCATTTCTTGTAATTTCAGTAATTTTTCTTCTCTGCGTGATGAATATTTCTTAAAAATTCCAAGTCGTGTCAATTGTTCCTTTTTGGAAAATGAAAAAGATTTTGAGAAGATTGAGCTTTAAGAGATTTTGAAACACTACAACTGAAGTACCTATTTTTGCCGTTTCACCGTCATTATGCAAAAGCTAGTGTGTAAATAATATTGCAAGTAGTGATTATATGTCTTTTACTTGTTAGATCTTGTAAGTAGAAAACTATTAATAGCTGCTCTGAAATTCTTCCCAAATTATTTGTTCGTTTTATCTTGAAAGTTCACAAATTATTTGTCATATTTAGTGGAATAACGAAGCATTTGTATCTTTCAGTCCTGCCTTGTGCACGTAAGAACTATCTTTAGTTATTATCATGCTTTTTCCATTTTACTTGTATGAATACGTTCTAATGTTGATCATACTAATTTTGAGAAGGCTCCATTGTTGTCTTGGTCAGTTGTCAGTGTCCTCTGAGATCTATGTCATTTATTTTTTAGGTTTTATCATTCCAGCTAACGGTAGTTTTGTTAAGAATTTCTGTTTACCTCAAGGTTTCCTTTTTTTAGTGTGTGCATGGTGACTTAAATGTAATAATTGTAACTATAACATTAATTTGATAAGCCTACTTTTATTGCCTTGGTATCCTATCTGGCGCTTCGTGCACACAGATACACTTGGCGGAACCACCTCAGCAAATCAGCAGTTAGTTTGATGAATAATAAGCGCTTAAGCTCTGCTAAATTTGATTTTTCATCATTCTTGTAATGTTTAAGATTCTTTTTTTTTATCTCTGCCTTCAACATGTTTCATAACCAAGTAACTGAAATAATTTGTCTCAAATTTAAATTCACCCTGTAAGCACATTTTAAGTGGTGAAAATTATTACTCTCCTCATCATTGTCGATTGTCTTTAATTTTTCGATTGTTAAGTTTTATCTCTTTAATTTGGCAATTTTCACTTGCGCTTCAACCAGCACTTTATTTTCTGCTCTCTGTAACTTTTACTTACTAATGTTGGTTCTCGTCAACAAGTCCCAAACGACTGATAAAATGTTCATAATTTCATTATGTTAAGGTTCAAATAAGTTCATACACTAGAGACAAATACCTTCTTACAAATTTCATTCATTAAGTTTCCAAATCGATATCAAGTTCTCCATCTGAAAAGAGTACTCTCAAATTTCAATGGATCAATTTTGGTCTTAATTAGATGTTGACACTGACGCAATTGACCTGCATTTATGTAATCAAGTTAGTTTATGGCTTTGTAGTGTAGAAGTACTTTTTAAACAGTATTTTGTTTATTTAGCTGTATCATCTTCAGTGCTCTGGTTTACATGTATAACTGTCTGAACTCCTCTCTAGGGAGATGTGTACATTATTTGGAAAATAGGGAAAGTGTTTGGGAATTTCATGATTGAGACAAGAATTTTTTTCTCTGCTTTGAGTTCTCATAGTCGCGAGAGATTAATCTTAGAGGATAATAACATCGAAACAGAAAATAGGAAAGTTCGAAGTCAACCATAAAATTAATGATAAAAATTCCTTCATTTGTAGATGTGCTGTCATGCAATGTTGAATGGAAGAGACAGGAATCATTTTGATGCGGGGAAATCGACTAAGCCAGAGACTGCATTTCTAAAGTAAAAGACATTTTCCCTATGCACCCTGGTCCATCATTTTGCTGCTCTTGATTTGAGCTTGGTGAAAAAAGTCTTGAGCCAGTTTTTGTTCGTATTGAAATCAGTGGTCTGGCAGAAGCAGTAGTGCAGAGACTGAGAATTTTATCGGGTTGCAATGTGTAACCTCTTTAGAAAAACACGATAAAATTCACAGAGATTGCTCAAGGCCCAAAGATTCAATCTTTCTTTAAAGACTGTGAAAAGAGTCTGCACAGGATTCAGACTAATTCTTGACAAAATGCCATTTTTTCACTTGTATGATCTCTAGTCTCGTAAGTTTTCTTTTTCACCCTGCTTGAATGGAAGCATATTTCCGCCTCTTAAGTACGAAATCGTTTGTATTTTACAGCGCTTAAATTTCCTCAAAACGTTTATTTATCTCACCCCTTACTCTCTTGTTGTCTTCAATTTAAGTGTTGGAGCGAATTTCAGCAAATGCAAATAATGACATCGTGGAACAGACGTACCTACTTTCTAGTTTTTGACTTGTTATTTCAAGTATTCTATGTATTCTTGTATTTAAATGATATTTGCTTTCTACATAGTACAATTTTAGTAGCTGTTGTAGGAAACCAGAATTAATAGTCAAGACATTGGATCAACTTATTTCGCACTCTTTTTATTTTTATCTCTGCTTTGTCAATATTTTGTTGTAGTATTAATCAGAGTCGCAGTAGAAGAACATTTGGTTCTGGTTTTTTTTGTTTTGTTTTTTGTTTTTCTTCATCTGTTTTGTTGATTGCTCATAAAATTTAATGGCATTGATTTCTCGCCAGCCTGTGTGTTTTTTTCTTCCTTTTATGTTTCATCTGGGCAGAATTTCTGTACAGTAGGTGATAATTATCTCCGCACATCAACAGAGTCCTTGATGAGTCTTTAAAACTCTGCTCGGGGTTGTCTCATCGCAAGTTTTTTAATTGATTAATTTTTCCAACAAAATTGTGTATCTTTGTTCTTGGTTTCTCTTTACTTGTTTTGATATCGAAAATCTGTGTATTTTTCATATAAATGAGCAATAATTATTGATTTTTCAAAGAACATGCGTTTTTTTAAAAAAAAAAAAAATTACAAAACAGGAGAAAGTTTGAATGAATTGAGTCAATCCGCTAAGAAATTTGATCACTTGACATTTCCTGATGCCACAAACACTTTTCATCTGATGAAATCAGTTTTACGCAACTTGTGGTTCACTAATCTGGTGCCATCACTGATAATAACTGATTTTCATCATTCCTGAGTATTCAAGATTACTTTGAATGTTACAAGTTACTTTTCCTTGGGCAGCAGTTCATATTTTATGTTCAAGGTCCAATAATCCACAGAACCAGGTTAAAAGCTTTTGATAATTTAAGTCTATTGGTTCAGGGTGTCTATAGGTACTAAAGCAAGGTGACAATTGTTTGAAAAGTCAGGGAAAATTTGTGAAAGTCAGTGAATTTCACTGTGGAACCTTGAACTTTTTCCTCTGGTCGAAACATTGCATTTTTTCAGTTTAAGAGACTTGGCTCACAACTTTTTACGAGAAGAAGTTTTGAATGAGAAATCATTTTGAAAGAAGAGGGGGAAAAAATCTGTAAAAAGTTAAGGAATTTTATGTTCAAAATTCCAGTAAAGTCAGGGAATTTTAAGTTCCAAGGAAGTTTGTGAAAAAGTCAGACAGAAGTCCGAAATTCTGACTTATAGATCCAGAAAATATGTTTCAAACTTGCTCTCTCGTGTCCTGGTAAAACAAGTACTTTTCAGCCAGAATTTTTTTTTAAAAAGAAAAAAAATCTATTCAAAACAAGCGTTTACTCCTTCCTCATAAAAATTCAGTAATCAACAGTTCATCTTCCAACTTGTTTATTTTCAAACGAAAAAATAAGGTTCAAGTTCAGGTCTTAGAATTGTTTTTCCAATATCCTGTAGACACCCTGCAATATCAACTCTTTTGAAATCGATCAATTAAATTCTAAGAAAAAATTGTATACTTTAAGTCATGTTATCATTGAAACATATTTTTATTGCGTAACTGCTGAGTAGCTTCCTTTTCCTTTTCTTGTGAAAGGCGCACCTTTTCTTTCATTTTTATGGCTCAAAATAAAGTTTATCATCCAGTTTATCTGAAGTGTTATTTTATTCCTAAAGCCTCTTTTTTTTCATCTTAAACTGTGAAACTATGACAGGTCATAGCTTAAGATGAGTGAATTACTTTTTTTCTTTTCTTTTTTTGACAACCTATATAAGTACTCTTCATTTACTAATTTTTTGTAAACTACATCTTCTTCACTTACAAAAATAAAGTGTGCTGTATTTTTCTTGGCATTGATTATATATTAGGAAATATAATATTCAAAGGGAGAAAAAACTTTATGCTCATTACCAAATGACTGCAAATGCATCATGAAATTAATAACTATGTTTGGGGAAAAACACAGGAAGACCCAACTTCTGGCCATCCACTTTTTGACTATGCATAAAATATGGGAGAGTATTTAATAGTAGGTTGAGAAAACTGTTAAATGATGATTTGAAAATTTTAATTAATACGATTTAATTGATTTATAAAAATACGAGCAGGTACAAAGCAAAGGTCTAAGTGAACAAAATATCAACCAGGAGTGGAAGATAAATCACAAACAGGAAACGATTTCCAAACAGAAAGGGACTGATGTGCATATTTTAGGGCTATTTGAAGCACTCATAACTTGTGAGAATGAATCACATTTTCTGGAGTAGCTTCCTGTACTTACTGAAAACGGTTGGCAGAATTTTCCCAAAATATATGGGAGAAAATTTTTATGGCAAGTCAATTTTCAATATCTAGTGAAGTTATTTAATTTTTCATAAAATCCACTTCTGATTTTTTTCCCATTCTCACATGATATGTCTTTAACAACTTCTTACAAAATGTCTTTTTTAAGGAAAAAAAAGAAGGCAGGAATTCATTCCAGCAGTTATGCAAATTTAAAAGTTACAGAAAAATCCAGCAAAAGGACAAATAACAATCTTTTTCAAGAAGTTTCCTAACATTTTCTTAACAGATTTTCCATCAATGCAGACATCCTGATTACAATTTTGGCTATTCTGGCAATGAGCATGTTAGGCATCTCTGCCTAAGAGGTCATTTATTTCCAAGGCGGATAAAGAATGGTGGTCGCATTTCGTACCCTCTGGACGTCACACGGTATCGGGTACATCGGGTACATGGGCCGGCCGAGGCCGGGGGAGTCGGCTCAACCTCGAATTGCATGGCAAAGGCCGTACCCTCCTGACGTCACAGTGCTTCAAGATGGCGGCCAAAATCGAAATGCGACCACCATTCTTTATCCGCCTTGATTTATTTCAGCAAAAACTTATTAGATAATGTAAGGCACAAAATGACTTGTCAATCTTCCAGCATAAAATGCTACTCCCCACCTCCCCAAAAAAAAACCCCAGCATTCTATCCAAACCAGGTCAAAAATGAACTTACTCCAGCACACTTCCACAAAATCTCTATAAAAAGTTTGAACACATTCAAGTATCAAAAGAAAAAAAAAATTACTTGGTGTTGTCATAAATTAGGCTACATAACAACTGGTGAAAGATACATCATGGAAGCTCTCTGATAGCATTAGAACTTGTTCCTAACAACATTCTAATGTTTTTTTGTTCTTTTTCTGCACAATCTTGCAAAAGCTTGTGACTAGGTGACAAAGAGTGAAAAAAAATCTGACCTTATTTATCGAAAGTTACAGTTACAATTACATAACTGCCAGCTTTTGATTCTGAAATATTAAAAAACCATCCTGTATCAACAAACACATCCTTCGTACAATGCAAGACAAAAGAGCTCAGATTGAGAACTACCAGGCACTGTAAGAAATCAGTTTGGAATTAAAAAAATCATTGTGATTTTCAATTAAAATTAATATGTTTTGCATAATCATTACTTGCTGTCTATTAACCGATTCACTACCAATTACTGCGATTGATATATTTCTTCGCATTATCACTATCTAGGAAGTTGATGATTAAAGGTGTGTACAGGTATGAAACAAATTAAATAGAATAATTATTAAATTTTTAAAAAAGTGAAGAGATCCCTTTTAAACCGATTTAAAAAATGTAGATCTGAGACAGCGGATCAATAGAATGGTAAAACCCATAGAATATAACTGCAGCAGGCTAAATCATTCGGAGAAAAAAAGGAAAATTCACTGTTCTATAAAATCTGAAATCGATCTCTCGACAGCATCTCTCAAATTCATCAATGATTTTTTCACTCGAAGAGCCGTTGGTCTCACACTTGGATTCGGATGCCAACACTCTTGCATTATCTTTGAAATGGTATCCAGCACCTGGAATCAAAGAGACATTAAAAATTAGAACCGAAAATTGATTGCTACATCAGTTGGAAGAAAACCTTTTTCCGAAAAAAGTTGAACATCAATACACAATTTCACTTGCATGCTTTAATCCTTAGATTGCCCACTCGTTCGATCCTAGCAAGTCTGGTACAGAGAAGTCACATTCCTGCTTTGACGCGCCTTTTAGTTAACGAAGAAAAATTGAATGACTTCATTCGGATCCATCTTTCCATTTAAAATTCTCTCTTGCCTTCCTCAGGTTCTTGATAATAAGTCATTAAACTTCCATTTATTTCCTAATCTGAAGGTCAGATTCAATAAAAAGCATTTTAAATGAGTGCACAAAGCTAAACCTCGAGCAAGCTCCTAAAAGCAGAGTATGTCCAATATGTTTGAAATTTTTCTTCGTTTTTTCATTTGCTATGTTGGAAATTTTTCTTCGTTTTTTCATTTGCTATGAATTATTGAAAACTTTAGAGGCAAGCTCTTCATTTTTTAAGGAACTTAAAATCCAGCTGAGGTAACAGGAACAACCTACTTTAAGGGAGGGGGGGGGGGGCTACATTTCGTTCAATTTAATTTCAGATAAGCTGGTTAGACTCAATATATTCTGAGGAAGATTTTAAGAGCAAGATCAGTGAAATTGATCATTTTTGTGGATTTTGAAGAAAGGAAGAATTTTTGTATTGAATGAACTTTGCAGACACTGACATGCAGAGAAAAATTTGCGAAAAAACTCAAGAGAAGAGGACACCCTCGAGATACGCAAGAGCATCATCAAAATTAAAAACTTTCGGAAGAGAGAAAAACCAACTTGCACACCTTTATGATGAAAAATTTGGTTTTACAAAAAATACCATGCATATGAAAGCCTTGCTTCCATCATCGATGAAGTTTCATGAGCTATGGTTGGATTTAGCGTCAAGTGATGTCATTGATTAAGCACCAAAGATCAAAAAGCATTAGGAAAAAAAAAGCTGAAAATGACTTTTACCGTGCTTTCGTGCCATTTTTCAGGCACTTTCGGTCGGATGTTATCCTTTACAACAACATTGTACATATCGTCAAAGCTAGGATCACTAGGGACGACGTCATGATAAGGCACTTTGTATTCTTCAACTTTAACGCAATCTTTCCCTCCATTACACCTCCTATAAAAAACACAGAAAATATTGGAAAATCAAAAATACTTTTTGAAATACACTATTTTTGTATTTCTACGTACGGTCAATGAGCCATCGATATGAGATCCATTGGGGCAACTATCAGTGTGGATATCATTTATACTGTCAATTTCCACGGGTTGCTGTGTTGTTGTAAAAGTACTTGGTGGTATTAACTAGTAATTGGTAGAATTCAGTAGTAGTATACGTGTAAAAAAAATTAGTTAAGATGCGTAACACCAGGCGCAAGATACAAGGTTTTTGAAATCCCAAAATAAGCTGGGGACATTAAAACTGTCCTATGGTTTTCCCCCAATTTTTAGACTAGGTGAAAATGTAGCGACAGTTCTTCCGCCCTTTATCACAGATATTTTGATGCCTTTAAATATGAAATTCACAATTACCAAACAAAACTAAACAAAATAAAAACTAAATAATTAGTTTAATTAACAATTGTTTTAAAATTTTTAATAATCTTAATAGCTTCAGTATCACGCTTTATAAATTTAAGCTATTAAAACAAATAAAAATAATTATAAAAATAGATATGATTAAAATTGCAGTTTTCAGATGAATTTGGTTTGTTTTATATAACAGGTGTGTTCCTTTATAGATAAAATTAATTAATGAATTTGTTTGGTTGAATACTGTTCCTTTTGCTGTTCATGATTCAAGCATCTGATTTGGTGAAAAGAAAAAAATAATGAAGAAAGGAAACTTCAAAATCAAAAGAATTGTCTTCAATAATGCAGGTATCAAAGGAGCAAACGTCAAAAAATCAAGTTTCAAGCCTGGTGCAAATATAAGTAGCTAAAGCTTGGAGAACATACCTGCATAGTTCCCAAATTACTAAGCTGAGGGAGTAGATATCTGCCATTTTCAGAGCTTCGAACACTCGCGCATCTGCACTCTCATCGAGAAGAGCATCTATGGTTCCATCTAAAACTTCCGGTGGCATGTATCTCTTAGTTCCCACTCTAACATTGTCACGGACAATGTCAAGACCATTTATTTCACTGAAAAGGAAAGATGATTGTAGAATCAATCAATTGAGCATTCGATACAAAACTTCACTGGGGAAAGAGCGTAAGAGTGAAGTTGAGGATAAGCAATCGTTTTTAAAATTTCCTAATTCTAAAATTATAGGTATTACTTCTTTAAAAGAGTCTTCACCAGAGATGTACAAACATGGAACACGTTGATGGAAAATAACGCTAATATTGCACATCTAAGAATCATTCTGTTACCAACTTTTGGCCAATTGAAAGGACAGTTGGACAGAGAAGTTGTGTCTCGCAACAGCATGACATGATTAGACAGCTCATTTACCTTTCAAATCAAGAAATAATAAAGTGAGCTTTCGAGGAGGAAAAACCAAAACAAAAAGCAGGAACATACCTATTGTATCTAACAGCAAGGCCAAAATCTGCAATCACACATTCATTATTTCTTTTGACCAGAATGTTTTTGGACTTGATATCTCTATGAGCGATAGCAGGTTTCCCTTGAGTGCCGAAAATCTCTGTATGAAGGTGAGCTATACCGGCAGCGATTGAGCAAATTAAAGAGAGAAGTGACTCCACATCCAATTCATTTGACTGGAGATAGTCGTATAGAGAACCATTTTCATGATACTCAGTGATTAGTAACATTTGCGTCCAAGAGCCGGTCCCTTTGATGTCTGCAGCAACAAAACCTGCAAAGGCAAACATAAAAAAAATATGATTAACACTAAATTTTGCCCATTTGATATGTCAGCGAAAGCATTGCCCAAAATATATAGTACGTCAGGTTCTATTTGACAGGATAAGAGCTTAGTTACTACAAGACATGTTTCCTCGTCAAAAATTCACACAGAAAACATTAAACACATCGAAAATGTTCCGAGTGACCATATGAGAGAAAAATAGCATTACCATTATACATTGTAGCTGGTCGATTCAAACTTCTTCCTTAAAAAAAAAACAAAATAAAGGCCAATGGAGCTAAAACGGACCGTTAAAAATAATCTTATTGATTGGCGGGTATTCAGGCTTGAGTTTCATAAAGCTTTCTATTATGATACAAGGTAAGTACAATAAAAAAACAATTCAACATAAATTCAAAACTTAGAGAAAATGATTTCATCGCAACACTCACTAAAATTACGTATTCATATTGCCAGGACTTTCCTTCAGTAGACTTTGGTTCCATGTAAAGCGTCAAGTTTAAACTGGCAAGCACAGATAACGATAATGACTCGCTTACAAGTTAAAATTGGAAACTTTTACAAGAGTTTATTGTTGTGCTTCTAAATTCAATTTTTGGAAATTTTGGCTTTGATTTCTCGCACAACAATGTCAGCCCAGCACAACTTTGCCATCCTGTCACATTTTTAATGTATTTATTTCTATCAGTGTAAAGTGGGATGTAAAGCAAACTGTACTTAAATTGTAATTCTGACAATGAAAAAAGAAAGAAAAGTATCGGATTACGGGTAAATTTACCAAGAATATTGTTGTGGCGCATCAAAACAGTTTGATAGATTTCTGTTTCTCTGAACCAACTCTTTTCTTCTGTTGTGGAGAATATTTTGACGGCAACTTTGTCATCCCGCCAGTTAGCTAACCAGACTTCGCCGTGACGACCTTTGCCAATTACTTTCAATGGCTCGATTTGTTTAGCGATCGTTCTTTGAACCTGTAGAGAAAAAAAAACATTGATTTCTTTAAAATAAAATGGGCACTTTATATCAACAAGTTGATTACTGGATGGATAAGACTCTGATAAAGCAGCACAATTTGAGTAATGTGGAGAACCATGTATGGAATACCAAAAAATTCGGCACCGGCTAAATTTGATTATTATGTACTTGATAAGATGTTCCCCGTTCCCCACGGCCTCCTGAGCGAAATGACCTTTGAAAATTAAATTTTCTATATGTCAATCTCAAGAAAAGCAGAGCTGTGAAGTTGATTTGACAGCATATATACACTCAAGATTGAATAGAAATGTTGCAACGACTGATCGATGATCCAGGTGAGCTATTTCTTCCTTGCAGATCAGGACGATAGGACAGATGAAAATAATCAAATTTCTGTGAATGATAACAGCATGCGGCGCCGTGTCTACATAGACAGGCTGAAAAATTCACTAAAAAATTCGGCTGACAAATTCACTTTTCAATCCTGCTTTCCTCAATATTGGCACATAGAAACTTGGATTTTAAATTATCATCGAGGACAGGAGCCCTTAAAAGACATCTTATTAGATGATACCGAAATTTGGCAGCCTTCAAATTTCTTAGTATTGTATCCAGAGTTCTCTTACAGCACTGAAATTAAGAGAGTATTTCCGGACTTCCGCCATCATCATATTTTTGTGTACGCTGTTCAGGTTTATGAATCTAAAATACAAAGGACTAATATTAAAGAAACTCACAAACAACGGAAGGCCTGATCCTGAACCAGAGCTTTGTTCCAAAAGATCGCTCAGAGTAGCAGGTGGTAGGAGCATTGGGTGGCTAAGATACTGCAATTGTTTCACATTTTCTCTTCTTTTCAACCTGCAAATGAGAGAATGTGTGTTAGACAAAAATTTCAAAAGGGAAATATGTATTTACTCAAAAGTAACTCAAGATAATGTGTCATGTAACATGCAGTCCTTGAAAAATAGAGCCTGTCGAAACACTGAACGCAATTAGGTACCTCTGAATATTTTTAACAGCCTAGGATTTAAAAAGAATTATTTCAGAGAACAGATTTGCTTCAAATAAAAACCGATAGGTATAATTGATTAATTTAATGATGAGTGATGAAAAATTGATCTTCTCAAAAATCAATTCCTTCCACTTTTGAGACTGAAAAGATGAAAACCTTCTTCGTTACGTCATTGCCATCAACCCTTAAAAATTTGATAAAAAAAGTTTGCTAGAAAAATCATTTCCTTTTTCAAGCCAATCCCAAAAAATGTGTACCATTTTTTTTATACTGATCTATGACGTAAAGCCTTTGTTACGAATTAATTGATTCCACATCCTCATCCCTGATTCAGAAAACCTAACTGTTTCTGATTAAGTGATGTCTTGCACAATTTTTCCATGACTATCTAAATATTCTCTGAGAAATTTCATTGAACTATTTTTTTTTTCCTTCATTTTTTTGCAAAGCAAAAAGTAAGAGGGGACGTTACAAACACTGCAATCAAGATAAGCGTTTTTCTGGTTTCACCATCGGCACAGTGAACAATGAGGAGAGAGAAATTGAGGTGAGAATAAAGGATTTCATAGGGAAATTTAGTAGGAAATTAATATATAACTCGTTGGTAGGTTCCAAACTAAATTATTGCATGTCCTTACTAGGAGAAGCAAATGGTAAAGAGATTAGGGCTTTGCAAAAAGGGCAAAACGCAGCCATGAGGTACATATTAGGATGTGATATGGACTGTAATATCTTGAAAATGTTGAAAAGTTTAGGGTGGTTATGTATAGAATTACTAATTAAAGCTAGGATATTTGTAATTCTATATAAGATGAGGAAAGGGATGATAAAATTGTTAGACAGGGATGTTATAGAAATAATGGTCAGGAAGGTAGGTAGAAAGGTGGAGGTCAAGTATGGTGAGGATAATGTAGTTGATAAAATGATTTTCTTCAAAGGTATAAGGGACTATGTGTTGTTCGGGTGCCATAATTGGGAACAATTGGATCTTAATGGTTTTAAGAAAACGGTAGTTAGGGAAATGTTAAAGTTTCAAGAAACAAATTGGGGTGATGGAGAATTGTTGCCCAAGTGTTATAGATGGAAGGAATTTGGATTGTAAAGTAGGTTAGGGAAATTAGGGACGGTTGTTGGAACTGAATGGGATTAGCCCTTGAGGGCTATTTGAAGTCCAAAAAAAAAAAAAAAAAAAAAAAAGAAATTGCATGTTTGCACAAAGGTGCAGAGGAAAGACTATAACTAGATGCTTATTACCTTTTATGGCAGTAGACGGAGAGAGAGATGAAAATTAATAGACCACAGGTGACAGATGCAGCTAAAGCCAAGAGCAGAAGGCTATCTTCCCATGAGGTGATCGATGGTGATTCTGGTTTGAGCCTTAAAGCTGGATGTAGGTTTTTATTGCATAGGTCAGTGAAGTTGCAACAGTCGATTGACTTTCTCACGACATGCGGAGAAAGATTTCCTTTACACTGAAATAGTAGAGAGGGATCCAATTAGTATTCAATAACAACCAGAGTTGTGTTTAGCCTAGTTTAGAGGATACTACTTATATTTCTTTGTTGCTCGAAGAAAATTGACCCTCAAATAGACCGTAGGATATTAACAAGCAAATCGTTCTTAATGAAGTTAGGAATCAATCCAGTTCTAAAGCATTACTTAAAATGAGGATATTTTGAAGATCCAAAAAGGGAAAAGAAATATGTTGATTTGTTTACTACCACATTAGTCGTGGTGACCATTTTTGAGTGACCATCACGGACCAAAGTAGATACAGTCACTTGTCTGTTTATTACGTCACCAGGCGATAAGAACGCTACCTGCACTAGAACCATACAACTAATTTTGGGAAGTAGGACTTATATTCATTTTTTTCAGGTTTTTAACATTAGCAGATGCTTACCATCATTTTTTCCCTCACTGATGATTTTTCGTTGTTTGTTCACACTTAGAGGTGATGCGTTTTGGAGGGTAACCCTTCTTTAGACCTAAGCAGTTTGCAATAACACCAAGCCGTCTTGTTGGTGCAAAAAAACTTCAAAGCTTTACAACTAACTTTTGTACAGACCGAACGGCATGGTGTCATTGCAAACTGGTTAGGTTTGAAGTAGGACTAAATGCTGAAATACATCGCCACCAACTCTCAGCAAATAACTAGAAATCAGGGTAAAAGAAGAAACAAAGGTAAGCTCTACAGAAATTGTATACAAAATTGTTTTGGATAGAGTCAATGGGTAATAGTAGTTTTCCGGCAATTTTAAGTAATTGAATTTGTGCTAGATTTGCCAGCGGAATTTTACGGTGTGACAGATGATCTGCAGTTTCAATTTCCACCTTGAAAAAATGCGAAGCAATATGTTAGAACTTCAGTCTCACTTTCGAAGTTAGCTAAACTACTCGAAAGGAACTTTAGAAGTGTAACAGCCCTCTAACTGTGTTTTAACGATAAATATTGTAAAAAGTGTGAGTTCTGAGGGAATTAAGAGAAAATTAAGTCACCTGCATATCTGAGGATTCTTCAGGGGGCAGGCAGCCATAAGTACGGAAAGGTTCCTCTCCATCAGCATCCTCTTCAATCGAACTGAAGCACTGAGACCCAGGGGAGAGGACACATGTACCTGTTCCATCAGGGCAGTAATCCGGTGGCTCACAGTAGCATAAAATCGATTCTTCTGGAAAAATGACATATATATGAAAACTTCAGGCAAATTTGAAAGAATTCACGAAGGTTTCCTTACAGACACCACGAAGTTGATGGGGTGTAAAGCTGAGTGCTCAATGTTAAAAGAAACGGGAGGATAGTTCTCTAAAATAATGATAGATACTGTCAAACAGACAGGGTTTGCTTTTGCCTTAGTTCCGTGTCATAGTAAACAACAGTATTTAAAGCTGCTAAGAATTTACTCAGTTTATCAGGAATTTCTTGTGAGTCCAGTGGTTTTTAACCAGTTTCGTAAAATCATCAAAAATTTGTTTCTCCTTGGACACGGATTTCTTCAGCTTAACTGTGTTGACAACTTAATTTTACAGAATCCAGCTGGATTTATGTATAGGTTGTAGACTTGATGGTTAAATACATTGCAGATTATACTTACCGCAGCTTACGAGACTAAGAAATACTGAATGGAGGATTATCACAAAATGCAGGAGATTTTTTGGTAGAAAACTCATCACTGGCCAGTGAACATGAAATGCTGCGCATGTTGAGAATAACAGCCAGGGTTGAAAGATGTCTATGCAAAGCAACTGGGGAGGATTATGTTAACATCTTGAAACTGTGAGTGTTATAAAATAATTTGCTAATCAGTAATTAAAGGGCAAGATTCATGGAACTTTATTCACACATTTCATGGTGATATTTCTCGTCTTTACACGAGCAAACATAACCTAAAAAAAACGTCAGATTCAAAACAACACAAAACAATAAGGCGGAAACGGAAATCGGTAGATTAGCGCCACACCGGAAGTTCCACTCACTCCAAGAGGAGTTGGCGGGAAGATATGACGGCAGGAAACCCGAAGCGGCCCGGAGATCCAGAATCTTGTTTCCCCCGAAAATTTTAATGGACGAGTAGGTACTTATGCATAGCTCATAACACGAAATTATCACTACTGATTGATGCTTAAAATAAAAAATAAAAAAACCCTAACTTACCATGTTGCATAGGGTAGGGGGGCATATCGGCTGCGGCTCACAGTGAAGATTGAGGATATTTTACTTCTGTTTATTTTAGATAAAAAATCAACTGCTTGTGTACATTAAACCAAAAATCTTTGAGGAATGGAAAAAATCTTAAAAAGTATGACAGGGTAGCAAAAGTTCTTCCCCCGAGAAATTGCGAAAACTAAGTACCTACGTAACTTGAGAAAAATGATAACTGGGGAATCCCTAGCGGCAATGACCTTTAAAAACATTTTTCAAAAACTCTTAGAAACATGTTAAAATTTTCAAATACAGAAAATCTTTTGGGCTATATTTTGAAATTTGAATATAATTGAAGGAAAAAAAGATTTAAAAAACTTTCAAAACCTCACTGTGCGTTTTTAAACATTTTTCAAACATTTTTAATGTTGAAAAACTACAGTTGATATTTTAAGGTTTTTTTTTTTTAAAAACACTTTTTACTTACATTTTACCGCTTGTAAATTTTACCTGAAAATAGCCAATAGGGGTTTCCTAAAACGAACATTTTAACAGTATTTTTTTTAAAAAGTTGCCTTCTTGAAATTTAAGAGTTTTTTAAAAGTTATTTAAACAGTCGTTGCTACTAGGGATGGCATGAGGTAGATAAATCCGCTGCTGCTTATAGACATCTAGACTCAAAAATCTCATCTATGTTAAAATTGATTTTTGTAAATGAGACAGTTAATTTACACTCAGGGCTTTTAAAGAAGGTACTTCTGTATTCAAAACATGGAGAAGAAAAGTTGCACGGTGCAACTTGCACCATTCCTTCCTGTATTCTTGAAACTGTTGGCAAAATTGTTGGAAGTGGAGTTGCTTCGATGAAAAAATCCATCACATCCGTTTCACTATCAAATTGTGAGCTCTTCTTGTTTATCCTATTATTTGGGTGATGTTAATGGAAAAATTGGGGTTAAAAGTGTGCCATGAACAGAAGAAATAAACCCTCAAGGTCAATTTAATGGCTAATAGACAAATTCTTCTCTCCATTCTTGGTTACTGAACCACGTTGGGTATAAATAATTTAATTGGTATGATCATCTGAGAAAAGATGTCACATTCTCTTAAAGAAAAATGCTTATACGACTTGGAGGTTTCTGAATGTAGAAATAAATCAAAATGATGGTAGAAAAATCCTGAGGTTATACGATTGAGTAGAAGACGAAAACTTATTTTCATTAAACTGATCTCATGGAAACACTTTGACAGTGATATTACAGGAACGTTCCTACTGTTTCACAGTTCATATGTCTTAAATGCTCATTATCTTGGCACAGATATGATGTTGCAAGTTAATGCTTAATGCTTTAAATGAGGTTTTTTAAAAAAAAATATTTTTCTAAGACTCCCTTCAACAGGCGAACTCTCCAATTCATTATCAAGTCTTTTGCCAAGGAACAATTCTGAAATACAAAAAAGAAAGTTCTCTCTAGTTGATCACTGGGAGAACAAAAGTACAAGGCAAATAGCTGACTCATTAAAAAAAGGCTTGATAATTTTCACAGAATGTTAAAATTGGTGTTTCATTCATTCAGATTATGTTGCTGGAGGAAGAAAAAGGGGAACGAAATGATCAGTCAGTCAAAAAGACAGATCTGTGCATCAATTATTATATTTACATTAGGAGTACTTACGGATACCACAATAAAGAAGAGGGTAAGAACTAGATTACAACAAACATTAGACACAACAAAATAAATACTTTAATGTACACATTTCCACATACGAGAGAGAAGGTCAAAATTTGGTAACATCGGTGTTGTAACAAAGACTTACACTTAAACCAAATCAAACGATGGGGAAAAAATGAAGATGGTGATCAACAGTAATGCACATTGAAAAGAAGCTACGTATTTATCTTGATTACCAGAGATGGCTAAAAATTTAGTATTTCACTATTGTACAAGAAAAGGGGTCCTATTCCTACCCGATAGGGGAATCATCAGTAGAAAAGTATTTACAAAAATCACTCAATGAGTTGAAGCGATACCAACTTTGCATTGGTTCGTGGAATAAATAAATGAGATAAAATGTGCACGAGTAAAAACACTTCCTTACTGAATGAGAGAGTGACTGGAACGGTCTGTAAACCAATCTGCGTCTCAGAGAATGAGACCTGTGTCAAGTTGAAACCTTCCTTCCATTTGGAGTTCCTTGATTTTCTTTCCAAGTCTCTCAAGTCTCACATCGTCAATGACGGTAAGAAAAGGATCAACCTCCATAATAACCTCATATAAATTAGTTGAGATTCAACTGGTCATCAAAAGAATACATCTAATGAACTTTACATGTAATTACTGTGCACAACAATTTAAAGAATAACTAAAATTATAATGATTACTGGGTGAAGTACCAAAAATAATTCAATATTAAAACCAAAAATGCTGATAAAGAGATAAAATTTTAACTGAGAGATAAAAATGCAACATAAATATCAGTATGTACAGTATTAACATTTTCAATATTATTACAACAGATATCTTGTATATATATATATATATACTTACAAATTTAATTACGACACCAAAATCAATCCACTTTCCAATAAAATTTATACATTCTTTTTTCTTCTCATTGAGACACACAATTTTTAGTTTTACTAGCATCTCACATCATAACACATGAGAATTTTCAAAAATCATTACAAGAATGGACATAACAAATTTAGTCAGTAAACTTTCTTCTATAAAATTAAGAAAATTGGAGCAGTGAGCCACTAGATACGATTAGAAGGACCAAAATGAGCTATTCCATGAAAATTTTACGAAAAATACTGTGGACATACTGAATTTATAAAATGTTAGATAACGAGTAAGAAGTACTCTGATGTCTTAATCAAATCAAGTGACCTACCAGGAATTTGCTTTTCTCAACCTGCTCATTAAAATTCTTAAAAGTATAGGGATCAAAAAATTGACGCTCCTATCTTCCAGATAGGTCGGTATTACAAACCAAAGTCTCTTTAAAATATTAATATTTTTTAATAAAAATAAAGGAATAAAAAATAATATAGACAAGCTTACTTCTGTGTCTACCCTTAAAATTATTTAACATATTTGTCATTTATTAATTGGAGCATCACAATGAAAAATAAAAATTAGGCGAGACTTTAGATTTACTCGCGATAAAAAAAGTCGTTTTGAAGAGTAGTGTACAGAAGTGACATCCCTGAAGAGTTCCTGCGACTTGCTTAAGGTTTCAGTATCTAGAAAAGATGACTTCCAATTACCAAGGACAAATATAATTTACAACAACATCAAAAACATTTAAATTTATGCAGCATTCTGTACACAGATAAATTTTTTTCTTTCTGATTAAATGAAAAATTTAGAAGAATTTGAATCAAAATTCAAAATAAAAATGAATGTCGAATTGGAAAGCCATTCAATATACAAAATTGTTATACACTTTTTGGAACACAGGAGAAGGAATCCAAAAAGAGAGATCCATTTAGTTGAATACATTCTCTTGTTGAAAGTTGTACCTTTCCATGTGAGTCGACTCACACAAATAAACACTCATGAAGATATTTTTTTACAAGACAGATTATCAAAAATACCTCTAAAAATACAAACTTATTTTGACACTAATGTTTGACAAGAAATGATACAGGGTTTGAAATACTTGAACTCACTGATAATGTGACAGATAAGGCAGCATCAACTGACAGAACCAAATACTCATGGAAAATTTACCTACAAGAGGAACTTCTAAAGGGGAAATTTTGAGAACAGAGCTCTTGCATGTTACAGGGATTTGCGATTTCAGGAATTCTTTTTGTGCAAAATTTTACGAAGAATGGGACGAAACCACTAGTTTTCTCTAAAACAAACTTCTCAGCTCAAAAGAAGCTCTCCAAGTTGAGGTTGTAGTGGAGGAGATCACCTACATCACGGTGAGAGTTCAACTCTATGTCCAGTCAAATTCTCCACGCAGAGATAGGGAACAAGTATATTGACAGGGTTGTCACTTTGTGCAGGGTTACTCTGGCTGCAGCCTTCATATAGTCCCTGTACAAAGTAGCAACCCTGTCAATATATTCGTTTATGCATGGACAATGTGACTGAATATAGGTGTTCCTCTGAAAAAAAAACATGGACAATCCCTTCATTACAGCCTCAACTTTGAGAGCGTTTTTTGAGATTGGAAATTCGTTTCCGAGTAACCAGCGGCAACAGTGTTTTTCGAAAAATTTCACTTACGAAAAGTACTCAAATTGCAAATCCTGATGGCATGAAAGAGGTCAAAAATATAAAATTGGCTTAGCATAGATTTTGTAAGAATTTATTTTACATGTTGCAAGAGATTTTATTCTTCTCATTTGCGAAAGATGTCAAAAGAGTGGGGGGGGGGAGGGGCAATACACTACAAACTAAACACTGCAATATTTTGCAAGCATTGGTAAAGAGATGCCACAAAGGATTTGACAATTTTTTGGGTTGAAAAGTTAAAAATCACTAAGAATGTTAACGTATTCACATGCTTTTTTCACAGACGGCGAGCAGTCAAAAACTTGACATTCATGCATTTTCATTCACTCGCTCTTCATGAACTTAATTGATCTCGCAAAGATGATTGACGGAATGGTAAGTTCTCAGGCTAAATGAATTTCAGCTCTTTCTGCTTTCAGTAGATTCAAAATCATTAATAATTGGGGGTCAATAATTTTAAATTTTCATGGGCATTTCCGAACAGCAGAACCTAAACAAAGGAAAAACCAGACTTCTAGAAAAACATTCTGAGAAAGTACACGATTGGAGATCTTGGTTGCTTTCTACCTTATTAGGCGATAAGTTTAAGACATTCTTTTGCCGCACTAAAGCATCTCTCGTGTTGAAAACCCCAGCAAAGCCTCAAGCAAGCGTTAAAAATACTATTTTTAATTTTAAGTATTTCTCATACTTAGGTAAAATTGTCTCCGGTAAATAATTGGTCATGGAAAACAATCACTAAGATGGCGAGAAATGAGGAAAAAAATTCCATCTCAAACCGGATGAGATGAAAGATTGGAAAAGTCGAAGGATTGTAACACTCAGGATATGTCTTTTGGTTGCTTCTGTCAGTGCTATTGCACTTAGAATCATAGCAAAATATAATTGTAAAATGATCCAACTTGAATAAGTAGCAAATTGATAAACTCTCCAAAATGTAGCGATTGATGTAGTGGATGAATGGAAATGAAACAAAGTTAAAATGGTGCAAATTGACACCTACGATATATGAATTTGAATATGCTGCAGAAGCGACTCTCTGTCCGTAAAAACCTCATTGCAAATGGAGCAAGTGACGAATTCGCTGACTGTTTCACAAACAGTTTCACAGACATTGCTCGGGTAGACTTCCGTTTTAATGTTATGAAACTCTACCGGATCAGGCACCTTCTCCTCCTCATTAATATTATTGTCGATGAACGGTATTTCGTTCATGTTATCCGTGTGAACCACCGCCTCGGTTTCAATGACACACTCTTCTGTTGCTATCTCATCAGCAACAACTTCTTCGGCAATGGTTTCTGAATCAAGGATCCCAGAGGAAGGATCCTCTTTCTCAAAATATTCGTTTTTAAGACCATGGATTAGTGGGTTGGACATGTCATGACTATTATTTGTGGTTTCCAATCTGCTGCCGTTGACCAAGCTCATATTATGACTGCCTCGCCCTCTACCCCTTGTGCTATTCCTTTTCCCTCCTCGAGGTTTGCGGACTACTTCTACCTTGGTTGCACTGGTGGAGGCACCAGGATCCAGTGGAAAAGTTGCCAGTTCAAATTTTGACCCAGTTTTCATGTTGTGATAATTCACGTTTTTGGTCCTCGGTCTATTCCTTGCAAAATCTAAAGACCCATCTGTTAAACTTAACATAGCATTTAAACTAGGCTCTTCGTTTTCATCGTCAAAATTTTTCGGCGCTGGTGATCTAGTTACAACATATTTAGATGCATAACTTGTATTGTTTAGCAGTTTAGCTGCTTTTGCGCGCTTTTCAGTTTTGGCTAACTTCCCTTTCATAAGTTTTGCTGATTTTACAGGGTTCTTTTCCAATTTTGGTTTTTTTGGTTCGACTGGAGTAACAATGGCATTCAAACTGCCGAGAGCATTCTCACAAGCTTTTACGACTGAGTCAAGATTATTTTTTGATGTTTCCCCATATCGCTTCTTGCGTTCGGAGATTATAGAGTCAGATTCGGATTCAGAGGTATCGGGGAAGCCGTCACCTTCTCCTGGGAGTAGTTTTCGTCGCCGCTTGTACTTACGAGGTCCCACTGCAGGCAAACGATGTTTTGCTGTGTTTTCATCGCTATGCTGGACAAGATGGTGGCACAGTTCAACAGATGAGCCGAACAAATAACCGCAAACTTTGCACTCGTAACACGAGTTCACTTTTGCCTCAGCACCTGAATGATGAGCTCGAATATGTTCACGCAACACAACCTATGAAAAATAAATAAATATAAGAATCAATATATTCAATCTGCATTCACTTACTTTGGCTCATAGAATTGAGTTGCTCTGGTCACATATTTTTACATTTTAATGTTCAATACTCAGTGGAGAGACTCACTTATTGAGCTTTACTGGAGATAAATATGTAAAGAAGACGTGCATAAGGTGGATTTCTTACGAAGATGGGATTTTTTGTGTCAATGAATTTGATTGAGGGAGAACAACACTTATCAAGCTGAAAATGTCAACACAGGAATTTCAAAGGGATTATCCGTCTCATGAAAAAAGTGATTGACACCACCATTAGTAATAACATAAAACCAATTTATTACAGCAGTGAGGCGTTTTCAGTCGAAATCTCAAAAATCAAGTTTCCAACTGCACTTGACAAAAATTGATCTGATAAGAATGAGTCAGTTAAGCTCGGGAGGGATTTGCCTGCAAATAGTCTGATCTTCCAGTTTTCGGTACGAGAGGAACGATGCGCATGTTAAAATTTCACGAAAAATTGTCTCCGCGGAGATATAACGATTCCTTTTTAGGGGTCTTCGAAAACGTATTTGAACCGACCGCCGTGAATCTCCGCATCTCCGCATCATAAACGGGAAGATAGTGGCGACGAAACCAACCTGCTTAGGTACTACCGCCACGCCGCCGTTGTTGATTTCACGATTTCTCGTTTGAGGTTAAGTAAGTTCTGTGTGAATGTTTCATATCCTACATACACCTGTATCGCATTCTGATTGAAGAGCTTAGAGAATTAAAAACAATGGATATGAATCTCAAACAAAATAACCGACATAACCTCCAATTGACCAACAAAAACATACCGCCAACGCGTCGCCACCGTGTATTCTTCCACTACGCATTCCGTTGCCATATTGATCGTGACGTGTACATGCGGAACCTACGAGCGCGCAGTTCAAACGCCGTTTTGGGCCACCCTAATTTTTGACACTTGCGAATAAACTTTTCCCCCGTTTGCAGTCATCAAAAAAATTTAGGAAAAAAACTGTAAGCTTCGGTCACTTACTACTTTCGAATGACACAATAAAGAAAAAGGACTTAACTGACTCATTTTGCCTCTGTTGACTACTGTCCCTTCATTCAGAGGACAGTCACAAACACACACACATTAATAGATCAATATTAGTGTCATTAGTTGTTTTTCTAGTGCTGCAGGCCGTTCAAGTATTATAAAAGGCATTTTGGCCGACTTCTTAACTCCATTTCTCTAGTAAGAAGACAACCTCTAACCTGTTTCGACTTTCGAAGACTCACCTAACCCTTAAAATTGTTCAGAAAATAACAGATAAAGCCAGAAGAGTAAGTGAAAAATTATTTTTTTTTTGGAAAATATGATTTTCTTTTCTAAAAGAGAGACTCATCTGCCATAAGACAAGCTGGATGGCCCCTCCGATTCTTCAGGGGTGGGGATACTTGGACAGCCCCTTGGTTTCTTCTGGGGTGGGGATTAATACAGATTTTACATAATTTTTTATTAAAATCACTACAGAGGATAGATCAACAGTTTGAACTGTATTTGGGACAACACATCCATACATCCATTCATCCCACATCCATCCAGGATAATAAAATTTTGTTAAAACTTAGAACTTACTCTTTGGTTGAAGGCTTTTGGGCAAACAGGGCAGACATACGGTTTTTCACCAGTATGGATGCGTTCATGCTTCCTCAGAGTACCACCATCAGCGAAGGCTTTCCAACAATAGCGACAACCATATGGCCGCTCCCCGGTGTGGATTCTGACATGAATTTGTTGTGATGATCGGGACCCGAATGTTTTCCCACAATCAAGACATGGAAACACCCGACCTGTGTGCTCCCTACCTCCACTGAAAATGCTATGGATGGACCTGTGTGAGATCAAAGCACGACCATCCGGAAAATCTTCTCCGCATTCTTCGCAAGCTACAACACGATCACGATGAGAGGACATGTGCCTGAAAAGAAAAGAAAAAAATAAGAGTTTATGCCATCTAGTCTTTAACAGGATAATGAGATTCCTTAGACTTCAACATTTTGCTTTTTGAGGGTGTTAAGCACAAAAAAGTCTTGCATAAGAAATTCTTAGTAATATGTCTTGCAGAGTTTGAACTAACAAAGCATGAATTTACATGCCAGCAAATGTAAATTGCAATGATTTTGCACGATTCTAATTCAAACTTTGAAACAGCGCGGTGAGCCAAAACGCTATGTCTTCCTGACTTTCCCTGTTTTCTCTGTTGCTGAACACTCGGCTATAGCAGTCGATTAACCCTTTCCTTACTAGGCTTAGAATCCTACCCGGGCTCACACCTCAGTCACAAAATCAAGGAACATCAGGTTACAACAGAAAGAACATGCAATTGACTTCATCTTCACTTTCAAACTGCACTGATACTCCCCAAATTACTTATAAATTAATTAAAACAATTTATTTCATAATACAAAAACATGGTTACAAAAATAAGGTTATAAGTGATTACAGATGTGTTGGACTTTATGTTTAAGTATCTTGTGCATTTCAATTTTGTCACTCTAAAAACGGATAGAAGTGAAATCTGTCAAAAATTCAGTTATAGGTCATATTCTTGTGGACATATATCAAGTGCTACATGCTCAATTTAATGGAGGCATGTGGAATCTAGAGCAGGAAAAATAAACATGTAGCGTAAAATAAAAATTCTAGAGCATGGTTAACAGCACTCAAGAATTCTCAAGCTAAGATTGCGAAGGAGTTAAAATAAAAACATGCAAAATCGACCCTCTTGTTTCGTAGTATGGAAAAAATTCAAGGTATAAGAGTGGATTCCAGTATTTTTGCACTTGAGTAAACTTTTCAAGCACTTCTAAAGTGTTCCTTGCATTGCAAAGGCTTGTTATCCAGTTAATGAAAGTTGAATTACAGAATAATTTCTTATTTTAGAGGGAACAGAGCAGCACTTCTCTCTTCTTTTTTCTTCCCTTTTCTTGAAATGAAAATTTACAGCTGAAGGTCCATAAAAATCAATGAGTGAAAAGTTCAAGTACCTCCTGAGGCGAGCTCTTGAGTGAAACTTCTTTTCACACAGAGTACACGGAAAGCCTTCGTCACCTTCAGAATGGACCCATGAGTGTTTTTGTAAGCTTTTCTTATCTTTACATTGTTTCCCACATTGAGGGCATGTATTTTCATTGATTGTATCAGAGTGACGTTCAAGCACATGTTCTGCCACGGCCTCGCTGCTTGCAAATCTTTCACCGCAGGTCATGCATTGATGCTGGAAACAGAGGAAATATAATTAATCATATTTCCGTATTGGCGATTCTCATACAAACCGACGTTCTATTTCTTTTTATTTTGCTGCAAAAATTTACAAAGCAGGTATCTACTATTAACATTCTTTTTTTTCTAGGGAGGGATGCACTAATTCAAAGCTACAAGTTCTCTTTACTTGTTACATCCTTTGACAGATTTGTCAAAACACCACCTTAACATTAACATTTCCAAATAGGAGAATTCACCTCTAATCATTTTGTTCTGTTTAGGATTGCACCCATCAATGTCAGGCAGTTATCTTGCAGAAAAAAAGAAATTTTAGAATCCCTGCTAAGGTGGAACCAATTTTTCTTCTTTCAACAAATTGATACAATTACTACTACACAAGAAATCTCGATGATAAATAATCAAAGTTTGAACTTTTGGAAGTACAAAACTAAAACTAAAAAAAAAAAAAAAAAAAAAAAAACATTCAATTGAAAAAATTCCTGAGAAATTAAAGATATTTTTTTCAACAAGATCAACAATTTTAATTGATTATCAAAGAAAAGAATGACACATGACTCATTTAACAAATCATCTTCTCGAGCTGGATTGGAACAAACCTGTTGAAAACGAGTGTGAGACTCCATGTGAATTTTCAACTCGTCAAGATTTTCAAAGTATAACCCGCATGAGGAACAAGTGTGGCCCACATCATCCTGAGAGATATCAACTTCAACTTTTGTAGCGTGTACCCTACAGGAAAATAAACAAGATTGTAAGATAATGTTCGAATATTGATGGAAATAATAGGCATTAAAATGAATATGATTTGCAGATCATCTTAATCTTAGGTGATAATGAAGTTCCATCATTGAAGTTTTTAGAACTGATTAAAAAAATTGCAGTTTTTACAAAAGTAGAGGTAGCAGAATTTAGTAGCTACAGAAAGCTACAATTGACTTCTAGGTTCCGTCTATCTCGCTGCGTTAACCACTTGAGGACTGAATACACTGCCTCCTACCTAACCTTTTTGATTTCAAATATGACATATTGAAGGTGAAACTCCCAAACCACATACCCTGAGTAAATGCAAAACAGTTTTGCACACGCAAACATGACCCTCGAAGCACAAAGAATTCCCCGGGAGAAAAACGTTTTCCTTAAAGTTTCATAAAAACTTGGACAGGTTTTGAAAATATTTGAGGCAGAGAGATTAGAATGTACGGTGAAACCCAATCTCAATTCATTCAGCTTCATGAGTTAAGATTCTGGTATTTGTGTTCAAAACTAAAAATGGTTACACAAATCCATGAACATAGGTCAGAATAAAACAATCGAAATTGCCAAAAATTCGCTAATAACATTTTTCTCAATATAATAACTAAGTGTTCCTCAATGTACCTTCAGATACTGCTCTGAGAGTGTCATTTAACAGCACAACTAACAAGGCTGCTACCAGTTTAGAGGTGGTTTGCAGCAATGAGTACTTGAACAGTTCAGGAGAGATGTAACAAAGATAAATATTTAAATGCAACTAAAAACTGTATTTGCTGGCAAGCACCTAATTAATTTGCAAATTATCTTGAAGTTCCATTTTTCCTGGGCAAAAAACTGGATTCCCTTCAAGTCCTTACATAAACGGCCCAAAATTTTGCCCGCTTCTTGGCTTAGGATTGTTTTAAAGGATTTATATTAAGCGTAAAATATGATACAAATGAATCCTTACTTTCGATGCCTGCGCAGCATATCATAACGATGAAATGAAACTCCGCAAACTTCACAATTAAAGTCACCAGCAGCATCTACCTCCGGGTTGCCTTCATCCTCAGCTACTTTGGGCGCTGGTTCCTGATTGTAAGGATGCTTTGTACGGGAATGCTCTCTCAGCAGATTCAAGTCCCAGAACATTTCACCGCACATATCGCACTCCAGTGGGGAGTCACCAGCGTGTATCCGTGAATGAGAGGCAAGAGCTTTTTCTCTGGCGAATCCAATACCACAGTGCTGGCAAACATAGGGTCTCTCTTGATCAATGACCGGCCATTTCCGAGGTTGGTTCATGTTCGCTCTGTTCTTAGCGCTCATTAATTTCGAGACGTCTGCTTTAGACGTTGCCTTTTTACCTCTCTTGGGGACCTTTGGGGGACTCATGATGCTGATTTCAGGAAACTCTGGTTCAACTGATTTCACTTCTAGATTTTCAGTCGGTGCCAAAGGGTCGGCAACATCTTCCACCTCCGGCAGCGATATTTCCCCGTTATTCTCATCTTCTGTAGGAGCCCGTGACGGAGCGTACGCATGTATTTTCATATGATTTACAAGGTCACACTTCCGTCTGTAACGGGCACCACATAGATTACACCCATGTGGACGCTCCGTTTGATGAGTGACCATATGATTTATGAGATGAGATTTTTTATTGAAACGACGACTGCAAAAATCGCACGGGTACGGATTCACTTGCACGTATTGCTCCTGGTCTTGAGGTAGAGGAATTTCAACATCATTTGATTCTTCAGTCCCCACTTTTTCCTCGATTATACTGGAAATAAAATAAAAATGGAAGTCAGTATAACATTGATAAACGTATAAAAATATACAATCTACCGAACTTTTCTGCTTTTCAAGGACTATCACTATTTCATCTGCATGACAAGTTTAACTCCAACATTCTCAACAGTTCCAACTTTCCGATATTTACTTTGGACTCCATTTTGCCATTAGGACCTGCTGTTACTGGCTCATTTAATCTACAACACATGCACCATTATTTTTCCAGTGCAAATGGGTTAAAAAAAAAATTTGAAGAAATTCCTACTAACTCAGCTCTTTCTATACCTACTTTCGGAAAATTAATGGTTGCCACTGACCCATTAAAAAGTATCAATGCTGACAGAAAAACTAAACCAGCTTTGGAACAAACATTTTTTGAGTTTTCAAGGAAGCTAAAAACTTCAAATTTGTCTTGAAGGCTGCAAGAAATGGTCAATTCTCTTTACCATCCTTGTTTCTGAATGTACCACTACACATTATTCGCATCAATATTGATTAGGATGATTTACTGTAAGAAAGTAGGCATGTTTCATCACACTAAGAGAGATGATAATTTAAATTTTTCAATTTTCAGAACAGTCAAAAATTTTGTTAAACAAATTTCTATTTTCTCAAATTCTTTTTTTCCTCTTCCTTTTTATTTTTTGCAATTTGTTACGAATGATAGTTCTAGTTTCTTAGTATTATAAGAGTTGAAGATTACCTTTGTTGTTCTTGAGTGTTTGCTGACTCAGCCCATGCATCTGTGATAACTTCTTCTTCAACAACTTCTTGCACTTCGACATAATCTTGAATATTTTCCATTGTAACTTTATCAGTTAATGTTATGGAGGGTAAGGGGGCTTTAGTCTTTTTAACACTGGTTGGAGATTTGTTTTCAGAGGTGGCAACATCAATACCATTACTAAGAGAGGAAATAGTTGCTAGACACTGTAGACTATCGGTGAACGGTACAGACTCCATTACGGCTCTTGCTAGATCTCCTGGTGCTGCTTGATGATCTCCTGAATCAGCAGAATCTGTTTCTTCCCCGTCAGAGTTAACTAAAACAATGCAATCTTCATTAACACCGCAAATAACTTCTGCACTCTGGTTCACAGCATCAGAAGAAGTTGTCGGCACGGATATTGATGGTGGCTCAGATTGGCATTCAGCCATGGTAGTTTACGGACAAGCCTGGAAACAAGAAAGAAAACAACAAAGTTAAGAATTTTGAAGTAAAAAAAGTTTGGAAGGTGGAAAATTAGAGAAAATATGCAAGTATGTACGCATAGACTGGTGTTTATTTAAAGCTACCTAAAAACATGATATTAAAATAAGATATGAAAGTGAAGTTCAGGGTACCTGTACATTTCTTCAATGACCATGGGTAAAATTACTAAGAACAAATATGGAAGGACTATTCGTAGCTTCTTCCTTCAGCCACAAATATATCCTCAAGGAGTAAAATCTTTCTTAAATTTTACAAAATGAACTGTGAACAGCTGATGCTCATCTAGTGAGCAGTTGCTAAGCAATGACAAGGAGAACTCAAAATTGGTGTATATGGTGAGGTGACAAATTTCACAATGAGTGAACCAGTGAGAGATTCAATCAAGTTAGTTGCCAATTTGGCTTCTGAGTATCATTAGAGATGTAAGTGGACTTAGGTAAGAATAAATCTATGTGTAATTGCTGAAGAACAGTTTAAAAAATTGAGAGGGGTAAACGAGTCCCAACACATGAAATTAAGTACAGTGACTTGCTGAGCAAAGGAAGAATAAGCAAAGTCTACCATGTATATTCTCGAGAGGAATTTCCATGCGAACTAATAACGGGAAGAATGAACATTCTGAGTCGTACGCAAAACAAGAAGGCTTCCAGGTTGGTAATGATTCTTAATACAAGTTTTAAACTCTCCTATCTCACTCTTAAAATTGGCTTATGGAGTTACAGGTACAGTAGATGACAGGACAGTCCTCATTAGTGGGGTTCAGTTTACACACTTACATTCCCTGCTTACAACACTTACACCATCCACAAGCTTTCTAATAGAGGTTATGAATTAACCTCAAATGCAAATAAAATGATAGTATATTCGGCAAAAACTAAGAATTAAAAATTAATTTGAAATTGTAAGAGGGAAGCCAGAGGAGAAATGAGCTGATATGTACAAACATAACGAAATGTTAGGCCACTGGCTGAATAATTCGAGACTCCATAACCACCATTAAACACTTGGACACAGAGGTTAACCACAATCTAATCAGAGGGTTTATCACCGCGAATTAATTGCGGAAGCTCGGTGATCACTGTAAATTCTTGTAAGAGGAGAGGAAACGTCGGAAATAACGTCTTTAAAATCTTAAGTTGATTCAATAAACGAAACAAAAGCCCGGATTTGGCGGCCCAGCCTTAACCTCATTACACACATCGTTCACCGTCGATAAGAACGCAATTGTCGAGCGAAATACGGCGAATTTATCCTCAACTTGACGACTTACCGACAAAATTTGAGGGAATTTCTAAAATCACATCGTTAATTACTTTTGACAGCACTTCTAGTCGAACATTAACCTGACATAACCAAATTTCAGAACACAACGCAAATGGATCCACTTATTTCACTTCCACAAACAAGCCTTGGGAGGGACTATATCGCGGCGGAAGCGTAAAATAATCCAATCAAATTTTGGCGTTTGAATACACGGGCCGAAAAAAAGCGCCTAGGCTCGCTCGTCAAATTCATCAAAGCGCACTTGAAAGCGAAAGTTTAGCCATTAAAAGTAATGCAAGTCATCAATAATTGACTGCATCGTTTAGGTGGAATATAGCAAAGTTTAATTCATTGAATTAAACAAAATCTGAAGGATTAATCAGTTGAGAGTAGAGGGTGCAAACTGATGAAATGAAAGTTGCGGTTTGTAGGGTGCTCATAAAAAGTGCGCTGAAATAACACGTATTAAGCGTTGCGTGTTTGTCTGCAAGATAATTCGCGGAAAATCTAAAACTTCGTGATTATGAGTGATAGTAGATCGAGGCACATTCGGGAATATTCAGTTTGTGCTTTAATCGGTGGTGGTCAAGGGAAGGAGAACACAAAGAGGGATGGCGGGAGGGGATGCCCACGCATGCAGCATCCTATGGCGGGAGGGGGTAGCGAGGAAGGGATTATTTTGAATAAATTTTGCAACATGGTAATACTATTTCTGATTCTATTTAGAAACAACGTTTGTACCGTTGATTACCCCACGCACGTAGGTGTTTTCTTAACGGATGAGCCAGATACTATGTTGTTTCTTCTTGAATTTTGTATTCCATATGTACAAGGCCTTTATGTGAAGAGAATAAAATCTCCGACTGAAAAAAAATACTGCTGAAATTTCATAGCATTGCAACGTGTGGGTGTGACTTCGTACTGACGGATAAATTGATAGCAAAATTTTACACTTTCACCAGGGTAGAGATTGAATTTTCACCATTTTAAAATTCGTTCATTCTTATTAACTGTCACCATTCTTTTAAAAGGTGAGACTTTTTTAAGAGAATTGATTTAATGTGGATATCAACGGCTGAAGATGAAAAATTTGCATCCCTTGATTACGGCATTGTGGACCTGTGCTCATGTTATTTTAATTTGAAGGAAAATCAACAGACAGTTTCGAATGAAATTTTCTGTGCATTTTTTTCACTTTTCCTCTTTTTTACTATGAAACTATAAGCAAAGTAATTGATTTGGTTAATGAGCTCCTAGGCAGAATTTAGGAGACTATTCTACTGCATCGTAAGGGATACTTGGTACTCTTAATAATAATGTCCCCTCACGCATCACTTTTCATCAAATATTAGGAAGTTGATGATAACATTTGATAGAGAGGAACTTTCAATAGTTGAGGGGCCTGGAGGCAAAGGCACATAAGTGCAATGTTTGCTAAATGGAGAAATACAAGTTTGAAGTCTCGAAATTACATGGATCCTTATGGAGGAAAGAAAGTTCAAACTGACTTTTTTTCACAGAATATGTTTTAAGTCTATTTATACTTGAAATCATTAATATCTTAAGATTTTCAAAAACTACTTTTATGCGCCTTGTCTTCCTAGCCCCTCAATTGTCCAATTTTTATGGGAATTCGGTCTGGCAGGGATGGCCATAAAATGCAGTTAGAATATCAATAGGATTCAAACAAGAGTAATTGTTGTAGTAAAAGATAAATTTATTAAATACATATGAATAAGGGCGAGAAAACCCTAAGACTAAGCACGTTTACACAAATAAATAAATTGACAAATTATAAAAAAAGAATTCTGTAAAAAATAATGACTTAGTCTTCTTGTATAAAATTTAAAAAAAAAATTTTACAGCTAGAGGAGGTGATGATTCTGAATGCAAAGACAATTTGATTCTTGAGGTTTGTGTACAAAAGAATATAAAATCCTTAAAAATTTTGAATCAATTAATTCCTCAACATTCTGCTGATTCTACAAAATGCAAGGGATGTGTTGATTTATCAACAAAATATGTGAACTAGTAGGTTTACACAGGTAGGGGTACTTAATTTAAGGAGTCTACAAATAAGTACTAGAGAGTATCTCATGAATATTTACAACGTAAAGAGACAGGTCAATTCTTAAGAAATGTTTTTTTAAAAAAAGAGAAAAAAAATTTTAATTCTAAATTTCCATTCATTCATTACAGTTAATTAAGACAAAAATTTGCAGAAAGTAACCAAAATATTCTTGTTAATTTTTAAGGGTGATGATTGCCAAAGAGAGCCATCAGTAATTTCTACTTACGTTAAAGTTCAATAGTGCGTTCAAAATATTCATATTTGAGTCCTTGTATTGCTGACGGTTTCCAAAATTTGAGAGCATTTTTATCATTAATTTATGTAAATGGGTGCGCAGCTTTCGGAATCATGTATTCAAAAATTCCAAATAAATATCTCTAGGATTTCTTGACAAGCTGTAACCTGCAGAGCTCTGATTTTTTTTTGTTACTTACTTCAAGTTCCATGAGCAGGAACTCAGCTAAAATATTTCGGAAAACACTTTCTGATAATAGAAAGAGGACGAAAGAGGAGCCAACAAGCCCTTGGAGACCTGCAACTTTAAATTTTCCCCTAGGGATAAACATGAATGACCCTTTCCACTGATGAAAAAAATTCGGTCTCAAAATCTTTGTCCAGTTTCTTTCTGCAAAATACTATCCTCTTAACGACTAACGATGTAAACACTAAACAGAGTGAGAAGGAACACTAGAGCCTACGATAAAGACCCATTGCTAAAAATAAAAAAAATAGATAATTTACAAAACTATGAAACTCACAGAGATTCTTAAGAGAAAATTTAGAGGTTTAAGTGTATGCCACGTAATATTCGATGATTATTCAATTAAAAATTATGCTGGACTGAGAATATTGCGAGGTAAAAAAACCCCCAAAAAATGAGTTACTAAATACCAGCACATAACATTGAAGGTAAAAATATTTTAACTTGCTGAGTGACACTTCTGGACTCAGACACAGGGGAACGGTTAATTAAACTTTAGAGAGAACAGACCAGTGACGGATAAAATGAAAAACTGTAAATCCTAACTAATTGTTCCGTAAAATTTTGAACACTTGCTTAAAGTATGATAAAAATTTAACCTCTTAAAAAATTAACGTAAGAAATTACCAAACACTATCAACCATTCAGTCGCAAACACACACTTTCCACAAATCTCATTTCCCACACATTCTTTAGAGAGAGAAAATCAGGATTGAGGTACCGCTTAAAGGCATGATATGAAGAGCACTAGCTTACTTCGCCTTGGCTTTGGGCTTTTTCCCCTGCACGGTAACTAAGATATCATAAACTTTGAGAAGGATGAAGTTGGAGTATTCTTCAATGTAGCCATGGTGCTTGAGTCCTGGGTACATTAAAACCAGAACAGCTGAAAAAAACAAAAATAAATTAAGATAAAGGAAAAATAGGAATTGATGACAGTCCAGCTGGCTCCTTGCATTTTCTCATTTTTTAAAAATATTAGAAATGGCAGTAAGGAGATGGAATCTATTTTTAGGTGACTTTTGGAAAGGCATAATTTTACTGTCACTTTGACAACTTAATAAAAAAGGGACCTTTAATGCATTGTTCTGTAGATGCATTTCATAACAATATAAATGAAAATAAATACTTACTGGAGCATAATTTCACTGAATGCTAGGTAGATTCTCGAAGATAGTGCAGTGATACTCGGCATAGGGCGATTGCCTATTTACATTGAATTTATGATCTTTCTGCAGTTATTCGTTGAACTTTAAAAAAACGTTACTTTGCGATCGGAACATATTCTTACCCTTTGAGATTAAATTACTCCAACAAAAGCAAAAAATAGACAGATAAAAGTTAATGCTTTTCCGTTGACAGAATCAATCAACAGGATGACTCTTCTCCTACTTTTAACATTATTCTTGGGTACATCAATTTTTAAATTTAAGGATCTTTCTATGAATCTTCTTTTTTTCGAATATCTACTGATGATCAGAAAGCATAATAGATTGGCTGGCGCTCTATACATGCCAAAATAAGTGGGCTTTATTAATGCTTGGATTAATTATAGTAGGGTTTTAAAAATGAATTAAAAAAAAATTGGTACTTACTCAAAAAATATGTGAGAAAAGTGTTATTGATGTAGTTTCCAGTCCATGCCAAAAAGCTCAGAGTGAGCAAGACTCCTACAATGTACTACGAACACAGTAAAGTATAAAGTAAATTAAAGAGAGTCATTGTTAAAAACCTAACAGAGAGGTGTTGACAAGAAATGCATAGTAATAAGTTCATGGAATTTAACCAAGCCTAAGCTTCTAAAATGATTGTGCATCCTTCATAGTGACTGCCGTTACGGTGAATATGTTTTGAATTAACTTGTATTTTCCTTCTTTTGTCAGTGCTAAAATTGCTATATGTCTGGTGACGATGAAAGGTTTTTCATCGCTGTATTTCATTTCATCGTTTTGAGCTGCTTTGGTGAGCATCGTAGAAGGTAAAATTAAATAAAAATTAGACACTATAATCTTACCGATTTCGGTCTGCTATTTTTAAGATGGCTTAGTTGACACCAAATTTTGGAGGCTTGGAGTTTGGTTTCAACTAAAGCAGTGCAAATGTCCTCCAGTTTTCTTTCTTGTGCGCCAGTCCAGCTGTCTTCTGAGCTTAGTCGAGAGACTACTGTAGGAACCAGGTAATCCAACAAAGTCACCACAAAACCGATCATTGAGACAGTTGTGATGAAGGACGGTTCAATTAGCCAAAATAAGCTGGGAAAAATGAAAAGAACATGTGACTTAGGACAAACATTGGACGTCATCTCAGTTACAAAGGTACAAGTAGTAAAAATTTACCTTGAAAAACATTCAATTTTTTGTTTGTTTATAGGTTCGTAAGTAGTCCTTCAAAAGATACTTAATATGAACTTGAAGCGGACTATACACACAGCAAATGGGGACCTGCGAGTGACTGCAAGTGGCTCATCCGTCACATCCGAGATCGTACAAACTGCGCGGCCCGCGCAGTTTGCAGTGATCAACACTCAACACGGCAGCACCGATATGCCACTTGCAGGTCCCCATTAGCTGTGTGTGCAGTCGGCTTAAGGGATTTTCTAAAACTAACCGCCATGGAAAGCAACCACCTATCATGAACCGAATTAATTTTTCATCCTGATCTTTGAGCCTAGTACAGTATGTTCCATGCATTTCGCTGAATAGCTGAAGCTGCTAGACCAAGGTGGGTGGTCAGTTTGGTTGAATTCATAACCTTGAATTAAGGAAATCATTATGGTGGACAAGAATGTTGAAATTCTTGATGTTCTTTCACTTTGAATCACTGCTGAACAAATCTAAACTGAGGACAGTTCGTTCTACATAGTGAGTTCTAAACGTCACGAGGATTTATAAAGAACAGCCATTATGATGGAATTTTTTCTTTCAGTTCTCAACATGCCTCTTGATCTTTACGCTAGAAGGTGTACTACTGATTTCCTTTGTGAAAACATTCATGAAAACCAGCAAAGGAATGTAAGGGTTATACTACTTGATGTTAAGAATTTTTTGATAGGGAACTTAAGCTGTCTGCTGTCAGGAACCTCTTTACGAAAGAGAATTTCCTCTTTGATTGTAAAATACTTACAAGAAAAGGAAAGATGTAAAACCAATGACAGCGCCAGGATACCATGGTTTTTCCCACAGTAAGACTGAGTTGGCCTCGACAACGATTACTCGCCAGGACTCTAATTCGCGCTTCAGTTTTTTGATCTGCTTGTCCTGAAAATTAAGAAAAGTATTGATGAATAAATGTAGGCTAAACAATGAGGCAAACTTAATAGTTTGCAACTGGGGGCTTTAGTAGAAGAGCCCCACCATGGCAAAATTGTCAATCAACTTCCGAGACACCCAGTGGACGCTCCGGTCCGACCCCCTCCCCTCCACACTCCCTCGCGCGATTTACGTACCCTATTGCCGTGCTGCCAAAACCCCTAAAATCAACAATCAAGCCAACGAACCAAAATAAAGTAACCAAACCTAACCTAACCTAACCTAACCTACCCTAACAAGAAAAACACGAAAAATACAAAATGAAAATAAACAACAATAAGAAAACGGAAAAGAAAAAATGAAACTCACCTAGTCATTGCAATGGAAAAAAAAATGACAAACTCATCGAATGACCATTTTCACAAAACCGAGAATTATGTAATAGATTCCGCTTTTGTAAATAACGAACAGCCTCCTCCTCGGAATTCACCTCTTGACACAAACGAAACATGACGCACGCACAATGAAATCAGAACTAACGCAAGTGTGACGGGCAGTTACTGAATAGACTCCGCCGCTCTGAACTTTGACCGAACATCACACCACCGACCTCACACATTCTTCCTCCCTCCCCACCCATCATTTTCCGGCTGCAGTTTGTTTACCCGTTTTGCAACCGCACTCAACCAGCCGTCCACCTGAAGCGTCCACCGGGTGTCTCGAAAGTTGATCGACAATATTGCCGTGGTGGGGCGCTTCTACTAAAGACCCTGCAACTGTAAATAATTAATGTTCAAAACCCTCCAGTTGGGCTTTAGTAGACTGAAAGAGCTGCACAAAGAAAGGAAGTAAACTCCGTAAACCAGCAGGCCGCTACCTGAAAGTTGCTGGGAGTGGGAGACTTCGTACGTGACAAACCCCGGTTTATGGCTCAAAAGAGATTTCAAACCCAAGTTGACTTCATGAGATGTGAGAGAGGCTGATAGTAACTAATGTTAATGCTATAGCTGATGCCATGAGTGTTTGACAGAGTTGACAAACTGTAATATTCCAATGTAGTCACATTGCGTCAATTCAATGTGTCCCCTTCACGTGCGATGAATTTTTCAGGGGAGCCTTGACCACCCATTCTAAAGAAGAGATGGGGGTAGTTTAATACAGCTAAGTAGTGACTGAATAAAATACTTTTGAAGAGTCTTAAAGATTTACCTTTTCTAGACTTGAGTACTCTGAAGCCATTGTTGATGAACGAAGTGTAAACTGAGTATGAAGGGGGTTCTCAACAATTTAGGATTATTGAGAGATGATTATGAGTTGCTAGCTCGACTTCTTGAACAAAGAATTAGAAGTGTACAGCGTGATGACTCTTTGAAAAAAAGCAGTTCAACTGGTTCAAACCTTGTGGTGCAAGTTGAATTGAATTGGATTGGCGAAAACTGAAAAACAAAACGCAAATTTCCTTTTAATTCCAACTTGTAACCAACACTTTCAAAAATATTGCGCTGCGTGACCTTGGAGTCGTCGGCAGGAAAAAATAAAGTAAATAGTTCCAATGGATTCAATTTAATTTTCAAATTTAAGTACCTAATTTTTAAAAGCGATTTAGTTAAGCTAAAGTTTAGATTTGGGTTTGTGGGAATTTAAATAAAATGTTGAACACATGCACCACCTAGTGTAACGGATTTTTGTCGTGCCGAAAGTTGGTACAAATGCAAAGAATCATCAACTTCATTCTTTGTTTGTTTACAACTTATCACTAATGAAGTTACACGACATTATGTGAGGAAAATCCCAAATAATTATTCAATACGAGATGAAATTTATATTGAGCATTATATTCTTTGTTTTTCTCCTCTTCACTGAACATTGCTGTGGTACGTACCTCTTTTCTCCTTCATTCCATTCCTAAACAATCCTTCGAAGTGACCCCTGATGGCTCGAGCCCCATAACTCCAACCAATTTTTTCCATTTCTATGTGGCAAGCGGTATCCTTCGGTCTCCGTACGCATACGAAAGTCTTTACTTTCCAAAGCTAAAAATTTCATGGCCACTCATCCATAAGATTTGTGCACGTATCATTCTCTTGCGTATTCATCAGATGGTAGATGCGAAGCCATGAATGCGCACCTGTTGGCTCTAGATCAATTACCTGTGTAAACCTTATCATGAATAGAATACAAGCTATCAATAAAGAAAGCCTGATTAATTGATTTCAGTATTTTATCATCAATATCATTCATTTGTTTTTCTTCCAGATGAACCAATACCAGTTACGTGTTACTGCGAGGACCATGACTGTCCTCACTATGTGCCTGGTACTGAAATGAATGGAACTTGTATTTTACCACTAGGAGCACAATGTTTTAGCTCAATTGAAGAGACGTCTGATGAAGAACCAATACGTAGGTTTGGATGTCTACCACCAGACGAATCGTCGGATATGCAGGTACTTAAATTATCTTATAAAAGGAATACTTTGAGTCCTCGGTTTGTATGTTTTCTTGGGAGTTTAGGAAAGACGAGGAGAAGTACTTTGGTGTTTTAGATCCACGCTAAATAAGTTCATGCACTTCTTGACAGAAGCTCATCTGATGTCTCTTTACGTGTAAGTATAGTAAATGCAAAAAGTAAGATAGCGGAACTTTTGTCGCAGTCTAAAAGTGTGTAAACTTATTTGTCACGGACTCTCTAAGATCTATCTAGTTTTCAAATCACCCTGAAGTGTTGCTAAGTCAGTCACCAGGTCCTCACTGGGATGCAGGAATTTCCAGATCCTGGTTGGTCCTGTCAATTGGAGGAACTGAACCCTGTGAGAATGAGAACAAATGTGGGAACCTTGGAAGGTTTTTTTTTTTTTTTTTTTTTTTTTTGCAAAGTTAAAGTATCACAAATTTTCTTTCAAGGTAAGAAAACTGTTCAGCAAATTGTCTTGAGGAACCCAAACTGCAAAGCGCGGTGTTTCAGAGTTTTAAGGGAACGTAACTGTCAAGCAAGCTGTTTTGAAAGAACAAAACTGTTGACCGCACTACTTTATGTGCCATGCAAAATTCTGTGAAAACTTGAAATGGGGGGGGGACCCTTTGAAATATTTGTACCCCTGGGTATGATGGTATCACTAACATCAGTCGCCAAATGTTGGAATCAGTCCAAACAAAAGCCACTCAAAGGTATCATCGAAAATTGAAAGTGAAAAAGTGATGTTGAAAATTGTATTAACAGACTTTCTAAAGAATTATGATACTACGATAGTAGCTGCCTTGCTTTGCTCTCGGTTGCTTGAAGGCTACTAGCCATGAGTGCCACCCTCGATGCCCACAAATTGATACAAATAAGAGAGGACAGGCTGCTGACGATTCAAATTGAAAATTCCAATTTTCTGATCTTCCAAATCAAGATAATATTAAAGGATTCTATTGTTTTGGAAACTGTTTATATTCTGTGTTCCTTTCATTTGCGTTCTTAGACTTGAAATCAGCCGACAATTTGCCACCTCACACCAGTGAAATCAAGTAGCACTCTCAATTTGAGGCTGAGTTTTTGTCCTCTGCTTGTATTTTCTAAGTCTGGCTTTCCAAAGTTCAAAATTAGCTCAAATTTTTCCTTAAAATGTTTTTCGAAGACTTGCCTTTAGATCTTGTAAAATGTAGAACCTTAAAGCATCTGATTCTTTTCATCTGTAGCATCTAGTTCCTTTTGAGCGTATAATATTGTCCTTTTTTCCCCTCTTCCAGTGTAAAGGGAATTTATCCCCTCATGCTGTAAGGAAGTCAATCGAGTGCTGTAACTTCACAGACATGTGTAATCAGAATTTGCATCCTAAATTGGCTGATAAACCACCACCAGTTTCTGAGATGTCATGGGAGGACAAGATTTTCTACACCATATTGTGCGTCTCAATCACTTTTTGCGTAATATTCTTCATAATGGTCGCCCTAATATTCAACTCAAGGTTTGTGCTATCCCATTTTATTTTTTGCGTTCTCTCTTTTCATTTTATTTTATGCTGTAGATGTTTGTATTTTATCTCTAAAAAAATGTCAGAAGAACGGAAGCATGAATTTACAGGATACAGGTATCCTCTCCTTTTTTCCGATCACTACAAAGTTCTGCTGTACTGTGTGCAGGATTTCTGAAAAAAAATTTCACTTCTTAAAGAATGTATGATTTTCATTATTAGCCGTATCATATCAACGGTGAAACTACCAGACCCACGTATCTTGGTTTGCAGACTTCCTGGCATGCTTTATTTTTTAAATGGAAAACCACTCATCATTAACTCTCGAAAATTCTCGTAATTTTTTATCTCTGTGCAAATAAAACTCTGTAAAAACTTCAGAGAATGATGTTTATTTTTTCTCCTTTAAAAAAATAAAATGTAAGCGGAAATTTTTACATACCGCAAACGAGATACGTCGTCTGGTGGTTTCACCGTTGATTTATAGCCTATCATATTCCATAAAATGAAGAATTCGAGGAAAGTAAAATTTCCGGGTCTACGTGATTTAATATTTGAGTAGGCAGTGACATATGTTTGGGTTTGATGTTGACAACGAAACTGCAGGAATGCATCTGCGCTTATGTTTGCGTTGTTTCAAAATATCAGTTCTCATTTTTTTTTTATTGAAAGAGAAAAAACCAACGCTATCACTTGAAATTTTCACAGAATATTTTTCTTACAGAAAAGATAAATCAGGGCAATTTTCAAGTAATGATGTTGAGCATTTTCCTATTTCAAAAATGAAGTATGACATGAAGTCTGCAATGTTGCAAACTGATATATGTGTTCCTGTAGTTTCACCATCAACATGCAGAACAACTTATTCCACAAACTTTGCTTTTTTTTAAACAATTCTAGACTAAAATAAACGCAGTAGAAATCTTTGGCAATCAACCAATCCTAGAAATCAGTATAGTTTTTATTGAATTTTTTTTTTTTTTTTTTCATATTTATCCTAATTTTTTGCTCGTTTTATTCTTCAGGTTTAAAAAGCAGGAAGAGGCGAGGCAACTAAATTACCTTTGTCATCCAATTTTAACACCTACAACCACCCTTACCGATCTCATCGATAAAAGTTCTGGTTCAGGCTCAGGTCTCCCAATATTCGTAAGTATATTTTTCAAATATAAGTTTTGTCTTCTCAACTGGATTCATTTCCTCATTCAGTCATATTGTTGCAAAACTTGTCTTTGAATGCTGCAAGAAGAACAAGAAAAACTTAATAGTTAATTGCACTGAAGACCTTTCATTATGTTTCATCTACACCTTCGTACAGACACTGACAATTATTTCTTTGTTAAGAATGCGGAAGTTGCATAGTGACCAATTCAGTATATGTAGGTAGATTTTGGTTTTTTGGCAAGCAGGGAAGAACCCTGCTTGGAAAACCAAGGAATTGGGTAGCGGACTAGCTTTTCTTACATTTTTTCTAACATTTTCATTTTGATATGATCCTCTTTACAACCGCCTGAGCATGGTATGTTTTTGAGATTGGACTTTTTAGTTATGTGTCAATGAGAAAAACGGGACTGATGAGTGCATTTTTGTAGAGAAGTCGCATCGCTACTGTGTCTTCTTTGTTCTTCAACAGTTCATCTTTTCTTGTCGTCTGATGCACAATGAGGATAGAAGAGCTGTCCACATTATTAACATATCTACCAGATAATACATGTATGGAATTAAGATAAATTGCAATTGCAAGTACTTCACTCTTCAGCCCTACTTTACTCGAATCTGGCTTGTAATAAGGTCGATTTTAAAATTTTATCGTGCTCAGGATGCTGTAAAGATCATCATATCAATTATTCATGAAATTTAGCGAGCACTGAATTTCATAGTTTCCTGTGCAAAATTCTTTGCATTAACAAACGCAGGAAACTCAGATTTCTCTCTTGTGAATTTAAATTCAAAACTTGTTGATATGACTGTTGGCTTGTTGTAACTGTATCCATCTAAAAAAATTGTGAACGGAATGCCACAAGCTTAATTTTTTACTTTGTCAAGTGGTCTATTCCATCTTTCATCTTTCATGAGTTAACCTAATAAATCTGAGTTAACCAGTGTCATCATTCAGTTTTTGGAGGAAGTATGATGGCATGATCACAGTGCATGTACCCGCCATCTCTTACTCTGACAAACCAACTGTTTTACAATTCAGGTGCAGCGAACCATTGCCAAACAAATTGAGCCCATCAAGATGGTAGGGAAAGGACGCCATGGTGAAGTGTGGCTTGGCTCTTGGCGCGATGACAAGGTTGCAGTCAAGATATTCTCCACGACTGAAGAAAAAAGTTGGTTCAGAGAGACTGAAATTTACCAGACGGTTTTGATGCGGCATGACAACATCCTAGGTAAATCTAGAAACTTTTTATGTCAAAATATGGAAGTGTTGAGTGAACGCTTGAAGAAATGAAATGCTTCTTAATATGTCGTACTCTAAGTAGGAGAGAATTGTGCTTTGTATAGGGAATATATGATCCACAGAAAAGGGCTGATACAAGAATTGCCTTGATAATTGGTATCTGTGTAGTAAATCAAAGGGAGAAACAGGTTTCAGAATTTTTTGAAGTGAAAAAAGGTTTTCACTGAAAAACAAGGTTCAGAATTGAATTTGTTAAAAGAATCTTTTTCATTGGTCTGATGCTTAAGACATTATTATGAGCAGAATTCCAGTGGTTTCAACCATCTTTAATTAATGAAACATGGCCGCCGTACGATCCAAATCACAACCAAATGATTTCTTAAAAAAAATATTCACCCCAAATAATGATGTTGTCATGCGTACCAGGTCAAAATACATGACCTTTTGTTATAATTACCAATTGGAAGATAATTGAACAAATGCAGATGATACCTAGGATGCATGATAAATAATTTTTTCTGTAATGTCCTAAAATCAGTTGGTTCGATATTTTTTTTTGTTTCGATCAGGGTTGGATTCTTGGCAACTTTGGGATTCTTTCCCAGCTGAAATTTGATTAACTTTGAGAGCAACTGAACTGAATTATCAAATTAATTCTCACCCACTTTTGTTTTCAGGATTTGTTGCGGCAGATATCAAAGGCACCGGTTCATGGACGCAAATGCTGCTTATAACTGAGTACCATGAGTTTGGATCGCTGTACGATTACTTGCAAACAAACGAGCTCGATGTTTCCTCTCTCATGTCGTTGATTTGCTCAGCCGCAGCTGGTGTTGCTCATCTCCACACAGAAATTTTCAGCACTCAAGGGAAACCTGCCATTGCTCACAGAGATATTAAATCCAAAAATATCCTCGTCAAGAGGAATGTTGAATGTGTAATCGCTGATTTTGGTTTGGCTGTGAGATACAACAGGTAATCTTTTTAAATTGCTGATGCAAAATCGAACTTGTCCTCCCCTTTCTCCTCTAGATTATTTTTATTTTAAGAATTCTGAAAGAGAGCAATTCTCTTGAAATTTCAGTCTCTTAAGAAATTCTATTTGGAGGGGGTAGGGGTTCAAAGTTGAAATACTGATGATAGACTTCGTCTCATAACTTTTTATCAAATATAGATATCAAACGCAGTTTAGACAGACAACTCCACAATCAAATACCTTTTGAATGAGTGTACATGTTACATACTTATCTTGACTTAGTATAGGAAAATTTGATAGTCTTCACGATGAAACAAAAGACGAAGCTAAATCAAAAAGACATTTTTAGTATGGAAATAATTATGTACTTCTTATCTCCTCATTACATAGAGGTAGTACTTTGTAACTTAAGTTAAAGTTAAAATGTGTGTATTTCATAGTTGAGCTATATACTTGCAGGTAAAATAAGCTTATAAAGATATTTAAAAATGTCTATTAGTGTATTGTATTGTAATAAATTGTTTTCTAGTACAAATAAAAAAAAAAAAAGAAAGAAAAAAGGAAAATTTGATGCGACAAGATTTGAGACTACATTAACTCAGGAAATACTGAGAAACACCCTATTTTTTTTTATTTTCGTTAGAGATGTATGTCTTACTCTCTATATTATGTTGATCATGAAAATCTTTATTGCATTCTGGAGAAACTCTTTGTCAACAAGTTATAATCCCAAAACAGTCAGAAAGTGCAGAACTCTGACTATCATATTATTTAATCTTCGTCTGCAGTAACCAATTACCCGCATTCTTCATGACTGCAATGCTCTGTATCTTCTTGATTTCAGTGATTCCAATGAAATTGACATTGCAAGAGATAATGCTCGAGTAGGAACCAGGAGGTATATGGCTCCAGAAGTTTTAGACGGGACATTGGACAAGCTTTTGAATCAAACTTCTGATGTGCGGGCATTTGAAGCCCTCAAAATGGCTGATATCTATTCTCTTAGCTTGGTTTTCTGGGAGATGTGCAGGTTTGATACATTCTAGAAATTTTCTTCTTTTCCCTCATTCTTTTCATTATTTAATGTTTATTTATTTTGTCTTTTTATATTTGAGGACATATATGTAACAATAGCGGTCGCTGACATTCGCCATTTTTAGGGCAAACGCTTTTTTCGAATTCTGGAGCCCTTAAGAATGCCTGTGCAAAGTTACAGACTTCCAGCATAATTTTTTGGCAAGATATGAACTGAAAACCATGTTATTTGTAAAAACAGCAGATGTGAAAATCCATTGTTCTCCCCGGCTGGCAGGGTAGGACACCTTGGATATTCAAACGCACATGCGATAAATGCTCACGCACTGGCTGACACTCAAATGATACGTAGCAGGACCGTTTTGCCGGAATTGATGAGTTTTTAACTGATTTTATAATCTGTTCCTTATGCTTGATGTAGAAGTTACAGACGGTTTAGTTCTTTGTTCAATTCGATTGAATGACTCAGCATTGACATACTTTTGGTTCATTTCAGTCGTTTCACCAGCCTTACCCTTACTGAAGACATTGTTTCATGCATGAAAAAGTGTTTTCAGTAAAAATAGCGAATGTCACATTTTTTTCAAATCGCTGTTACTCCTTACACTTCCTCCTGTATTTTTCACTTACATAGACCGTAAAACGTGTGTTTTTTACAAGCAGCGTTGCTCTTTATGAAAATCTTTATAAGAATTCTCTCGTTTCTACGGGCGGCAAAGTGCAAAGCTTCGAAAACTTCAAACGCGATTTTCTCACAATGTGAAAACTCGACATCCGCTATTGTTACAGATAAGTCCTCATTTATTTATTTTTTATCAGACAATGGCAAGGACCAGGTGGAAAATTTTTTTTTTATGTAAACTGCTGTCTAATATTTGAATACATACAGAAAAGAAAACCACAATTATACTCTGGTTTATCTGAATATCATACAATTGACTAAAGTCAAAAAGTGTGTATCATCGATTGCGATGTTGTAAGTTTCCGCTTGAGTTTTATTTTTTTAGAAGAAAACTGACCAACAATTATGCCTAAAATTTTCTGTGACTTTACTCCACTCATTCAAATTATATTCACAGAAAATTCCTAAGAGATATTATTGTTAGTTTTCTATTAAAAAAATAGAATGTAGTCAAAGATTTTGAAACATTCCAATGCAGGTATGGATTTTCTTACTGTAGCCATCGATATCTTTTAGTTCTATATCCCTAAGTCAAAAAGTTATTAAAGAAAGACTATTTTTTAATTTTTTCTGTTTGCTCATTATGCACTTCTGGAGAAAGGATATCCAAAAAAGAGTGTTTTTTTTTTTTTATTTTTTTTTTAAATTGATTTTACTCACATCAAATATTCAGGGAAATTAGGGAATTTGTATGGGATTTGGTGTTAAAAACAGGGAATTTTTTCTCTGTCTGCAAATCAGGGAAATATCAATGAATAAAACAAGTCAAGAATTCTGAACACCGTGCCCCAATCCAAGCATTCCCCCAGTACTAAAAATTTTACATCATGAAGAGGTCAGTCTCTTATCTCACTGTTGTCTGATTTTTGTGCATTATTTTAATTTTCAGGAGATGCAATGGTGGGAAAGACCTAAAAGTTGAAGAGTATGCTTTGCCGTACCATGATAAGGTTCCCAGTGATCCCAGCTTCGAAGATATGCACGAAGTTATAGTCAAAGGCGGCGTTCGCCCAGCAGTGCCAGACAGATGGAAAGAAAGTTTCGTAAGTATCCGAATTAGAACTTTTCAAGGTGCTCATTTTGTCGTAAAATTAATGATGGTCAAGAGGAAAAATAAGTACCCCAAAAATATTCGGGAGATTCTTGGCGAGGTAATTTTAATATTTTTGGAACTTGTAGAAACTAGCATGAATTGAATAATTAATTTTGTGCAAAGTAAATTTCTAGTTTTTTTTTTTCAAGGAATTTTCCATTTTCGCATAATTTTAATCACATACATTTTGATGAGAGATTCAACTTCTCAAAGAATGGTTTTGGAGTGGGTCCCTCTAGGTAGGCATCAGCTAAATTTTTTAAAATTAATTCCCTTTTCTTCTTTGTTGCAATAATGAAGAAACTTTTAATTTTACTGTAATAGTTCATTGCATACAGCAGTTTTGGAAGAAAAGGTCAGCTTTTTCGATCTCTGAATTCCTTCTTCTCCAGCATCAGCACTGTTTTTTGCTGATTTATCTGTTAATTCAAGGATTAACGTGTGAATGATGTCTTTTGCAGGTTCTCAATATCATTTCTGAGATAATGAAAGAATCCTGGCATCCAAATCCCGGTGTCAGACCAACAGCACTACGAATCAAGAAATCATTGAATAGCTTGAGAAATTCTGATAAATTGAATTTAAGTCCCAGTTAGTAGGAAGCCATCTCATTTCTTTGCCACCTCCTAATTTACGTACAATCTATTACTCGTTTTTCTAGAAAGAAAAATTTATTTCTAAGTTTGCCTAAGATGATTCTCTGATTAAATCGTACTTTATATTAAAGTAAGATTAAATGAATAACAAATGTTATAGTTTGTAAGTAATGTATTGATAAAGTATGTAACTTTGACAAGAACTCTGGGAACTGAGCTCACTTTCATTATTTTATTGACTTAAGCAAAATAGGACTTTCGTAAGTAAGAAGGATGACTCTCAAAAGCACGGGTGCAGTACCTCAATCGCAGATTTCAAACATAATGCTTCATCGTAAGAAAACCTGATCTGCCTCATGGTTTTTTTAATTTCCAGTGTAAGTTCTCAACAAGATGGCATAGTCACTTCTACAATATGAAGGACGAATTTTCACTGGTTTTCCTCCAGTAGAATACCTTGCTGGAAAAATAATTTAAATATCCAGAATATGGTCATGGCAACCTTGCTTTTGCGGGCAAAATTTCTCCTGAAATACTTGAAAGTCATAATGTCCCTCGGTAGGTTTAAAATATTTTTAGATCATGTAGGGCTTATTTGTACATTTTTAAACGTATCTGTGAAAACAATATAATTTCTGGTGCATTTTAGTCCGTGAAAAACTGGAAACTTTCAAAAATCTTATAGTAAGCCACGATTGGATAGTTTCTTCAGGAGCCCTTCCACATTATTCTCAACTTAATTGACTTGTAACATTTTTACTGACTTAAAAAAACGAATGAAATTATTTTCTCCCACCCGTTGGGTCACCTCTCATCAATTTGTTTCCATTCGTTCCACCTGTTAAAATTTGAATTATATATCAACAGCGAATTCCCCAACCATGAATCTAGTTTGTGATGTTCTAAAAGTTTCGCTCTTATTTTATTTTTTTTTGAAGGAGGGCAACTCAGCATTATTCTGTGAAGTTTTCATAAAATTTTCTTAGCACTCTGAAGAAAAATTATGACATTTTGTAAGAATTAAAGTTAAGTAGTTTTCATTTCAAAAATATCGTACAATATGGAGTCTGCAACATTACCAACCTAGATACAAGGCTTGGGAGTTTCACCATCAGTTTATCTCATTGTTTCTCAAGGACATTTAAAAGTAATGGCCCATGGTCGTGTAAAGGCCATTCCTCAGGAAAAATTTGTATCCAGACCTAGGAAAGATAGTGTTATCCTTACAACAATTAGTTAAAACCAAATGATTCGTGGAATCAATTGAAGTTTTTGAGTTTTCCTTTTGTGTATCGCATGAATTGGTTTCAAAATCTTTATTTTTTAGAGTATCAAGTGCCATCATTAAAGGATGGTGTAGAAGTTTTAAAGACTGGTTAGTCCACTAAGATATCTGTGGTGCGTGGACTATTGTAGTTTCTAGCTCTAAGATTATTAGTTAAAAGTTATCGAAAGGCCATCAATCGAAGGTCAATTGACCGTTAATTGAGTTCCTGTGTTTCGCATGAATGGGTTTCAAAATCTATATTTTTTAGATCAACAAGAGATTGAAATTCCTTGTGTTTTGCATGAAATGGTTTCAAAATCTTTACTAAATCATCAAGTGCCATCTAAAAAAGACAACAAAAAAGTTTAAAGACTGTCAGTCCACTTTCTCACCTTCATGAACTAGGTATTTTAGTTTTTGGACGGAGGATCATTCATTACAAGTCATTGGACTTAAACCGACTGATAATTTTAAATCAGTTTTTTAAAAAATATTATTTATTAACTTTTCCTTTATATTTCTTGAGTGTTCATCAGTTTTTAATTTTGCTTCTGAGGTATAGCATTATAACAATATCAGAGGTGCTACTTTTTCTTATTATTTTCTTTAATTAAATTGTACATATTTACTTGTTGCAATAATTAGATAAACTTTTGAGACTGCGATCTCATCTTATGTTACACTAACATAAACTGACCTAGCTGATTGTTAAAGGCAAAAATCTGTGAAAGAGTGTCCATGCATTAAAAGTGCGCTTTGCCTGAATATTGTTGTAATTGACATGGCATCCGAGGTAAAAAACATTTCAAAGTGTTTGTTCTTTATTCTGTATGCTGTTTTTTTCAAACAATCTTAGGAAGCAATATCTTTATTCCATTTAAATCAAACCGCAAAAACTTGGTCGATAGTAAAAAGTCTTCAAAAGACCTGAAGAAATTTTACACAAAAGCGTGGAATTTTAAAAATGGATTTAATTTCATGGATATTTTTTTGGATTGGGTTCATGGATGAGGAAATTAAATTACGAAGGCATGTAATTTAAATTAGCAGTTTCTGCGCAAGTGGCTCTTGACACTGTCGATATTTCACACTTGAATTAGAATTTCTTGCCAGTATTTGTTGAAAAATAATTTTATGAGGAGCCCCACCAGCGAACATTCAAACTCTATACAATTTTTCCTCTATGTGAAATTTCATTAGCAGTGTCTGAGAAATTTAACAAAGTGCAAACAAGATATTTTGTTTGACAGTATTCTCAGAGCAGCAAGGTTGAGATAAGTCAAGCAGCAACAAATAACTGTAACATTACAGGAACTTTAACTTTAGCCCACTCTCTTGTCACTGCAAAGCCAAGTCAAATCTCCTCAGAAGTGCCATTAATGTTATTGTTTGTTGCAGTTCCTAATATATTAAAAAATAACTTTGCATAATTTTCTTCTTTTTGAATATATCTGTAGCTGCCATGAACTGTCACTTCATTTTCATTGATTCAAGAACTTAGCAAAAAGCCACGTCACAGCCGCATTGCCTGCACTGGATTTTGCTCACAAAAAAAAAGAAGAAAAAAAGAAAACCTGTCCCCTCTTGGGCATGGTGTTAAATACGTATCTTCACTAACTATTTTATGTAAATCTTTTACCAAGTGCATCTGTCAAGAATGCAAATTATGTACTTGATTTCTCTAAAATGGTCTCTTATGCTTTTTTTTTCTCTCAATCATGGATGTATTTTCCAACTTGTAATACTCCTAAGGTGAATATTTTTTCTCAAATCTAATTAAGTTCTCATAAATGTGAGTAATCGATTTTTCCTCCATTTTTTTTTTTTTTTTTTGTGCTATAACCTCGAAAATGTATATAAAATGGAATAAACTTTAATTTTTTAACTATTTTTAAAACTGCTCAATCTTTCATGTCATTCCCTTGATAGTATTCTTTCTATGTTATTATTCTTAATTCACTTTTCTTTCAAATAAAGAGGTGAGGCGTGGTTCTGTAACAAAAAAAAAATGACAATGAAGAAACCTGTTCTTTTGTTGCTTTAAGGGTGTATGTAATTTTGACCCTAATTTTTGTACATCAACAAATTCATATGAATTCATATTATATTCATGTATAATCAGAGAGACATATGAATCAGTGAGAACGGAAACACACCAACTCAAAAAAATGAAAATTATCAAGACGCACACACAACTGCACAGTAGATAAAGAAGTTAGTCTCAGAAAAAGATTTTTGACGCCAAAAGACGAGTATTTGAGGAAACTCTAAAGGTCCGAGTTAAAACAAATGCGCTAACTTCAATGACCTGTATGAAAATTGACTGTTTTGAATGAAAATAAAGAATTTTTGAGTTACCGAATTGGTGTGTTTTCGTTCTCACTGATTCATATACTACTGGAAGTAGTGGCACAAACATTATTACACTGTAAGAATTTTTGTATAAACAGTTTTATTTAACAGAAACATCTAAAAAAATTACATATTCACAAATTGAAAGGAAAGTGAAGTACAAAGTTAATCCCTAAGTTCATTTCATGTCATTGAATAAAATGGTAGTTTATGTACAAGGTACAACAATATACAAGATGATTCTATGCACTTAAATGTCTACAATTTTCTTCCTAATGTCTGTACAAAAAAGTAGCCAGCTCTTTGCAAGCTTGATGTAATACTTTAATGCGAAAACCATACATATGCCTTTCATCCTGATATTTTTTAAGAAAAGCAATCAGTTTAAAGTAGACGACAACTTGAAATGATCCTCGTTTTGTACAAAATGGTTAACATAAAATGGAGATTTTGTAAAGAACCTGAGTAATCATGAAAACCTTCACTGTTGTCGATGAATGGTAAAAAACTAGCGAAAGATGCATTTGATTTACGTGAACCTAATAAATTAACTGAAAACTTTTTGTGTGCTCACCTTAGATATTTCCACCAAGCAAAATAAATTTTTCTGCCAAGAAGCTCTCAAGTACAGAGTTTAATGGGAAACCACTGATAAATAGCCCCGCTACTGATTTTTTGTCAGTGTCAAAAAACTAGTATCGGGTTCGAGTTCCTCGTGCTTTAAGAACCCCCCCCCCCCCCCCANAAAGGAATCAAGTTTCACACAAATTCACCAGTTAGTAATGCAATGTGGTGAGTATCCTTCAAAAAGTGTTGAGGGGGTGCTAGGCAAGAAGGGGTCAAAGTTGGAACCTTCGTACAATGTTTCATTAACAAAAAAAAATCCAGTAAAATTACCTACTTTAATATTTTAGAGTTTTTGGTTTATCATGCGTAGGTACTTAAATAAATGAAAAATAAAAACGCACTCATAGTAAAGCTCAACTTAACGCTTACTGTTAGTCAATAGCCGATATACAAATTTTGTATTCCGTGACCCTCCAAGTTCCTTCTGACAAAACAACGGTTTAAACTTGGTCATCTTATTATAAGGGATCTGAGGAGTACAAAAAAACACTTCACTAAGGGAGGTTCCACTGTGGGACTTCCTATCTCCGAACAAGGGTTCCACGAATTTTCTATTTTGCAGAGAATTTTGATAAATGGAATCGTCTCGGGACCAATTTTGAGGTGCTCTCACCGAAAGCTTGATCCAATTACTTCAGATAGAATCCCAATACCATGATAATTTTATTACAACGCCTGGATACAACAACTATTCGGTTCCAAAGATGTCCCTGTTGCATATGCACGGAAATTAAGGCGTTTTGACTTCGGACGCTCAGCGCCTCACCAGCAGCAGCGCTCACTGCGAGACAACGGGAGGAGTTGGACAAAATGTCGAAACATTTTCGGCTCATATCGATGTTCATACGGAACACAGAGGTTCAAGAGATGGTTTCGTTGATTTTCTCGACTATTTCCCTCAAGAAACACCCCATGCAATTCATAGTGTGAAGAAAGCATCATCATAATTTGCAGTTCCAATTGAAAATTTCATGTCAAACCTCTGGCTCGTTNGGGGGGGGGGGGGGGGGGGGGGGCACGGTGGGCTCTACTGTGAGGATCTACACTGTCGTGCTAAAGGAAAAACGCCGTATGAACCTTCATGCGTCGCCAAATTTCCTTTGGTAAAATACAAATCTCCTGATAGATTTAATTCTTCTAATTTTTCAGATAATTTTGCTCGCGATTTCAACTGAAGTAAAAAAGAGATACAATTTCGCGGACTCACTCGCGCTATTTAACAATTTAATGGGACGCGTTTTGGGGTTGAGATGACCCCATCATCAGCCAACTAAAGTTCTTGAAAATTTTAAGGAAAAATATCCATACGTTTCCTTAATACTAAACATTTCACCGAAGGAAATTTGGCAACTTCAGAATGTTTATACGGCGTTTTTCCTTGGCACGGCAGCACAATGGCAGAGTACCTTTGATCCTTTATTTATACTTCGAAGAAATCTCTAAGGCATGATTAGTTGCTCCACAAAGCATGCTCACAACATTGCGATATCAAAACTGAAGCACAAAGGATACTTACATCCTAGACGCTTAAAGTAAATATGTCAATTGGACCGCGTTAAACAGAAAGGAACAAGCCACATATCAGCTGTTGCCTTTTAATTGGGCAATTTAATTTTTTACATGAAAACGGTTCTGCGAATTTTCGTGCAAATTGCAGTGAAAATTCTCCATAGTTTGAAGCAAATTCCTCAAAAATTTCAAAGGAATCCGCACAAACGCTCTCTGGTAAAAAATTGTATTGCCCAGTTACATTTGGCAATAACTGATGTGGCTTGGTTCCTTTCTGTTAAACTCGGTCCAATTGTTGGAGGATAGGTGACTTGTCCGGATGTGGCTACCACCACTCATAAATCCTGCCTAGGAGATATATTTTTTAGTATAAACGAAGAACTAGAGGCGCGTTTGCTGTTGGCGCCGCGCCGTTTCGCGAGTGAAGTGGTAGGTAGGTAGGTGCCTGCACAGTCAAAACGCCTTCACTTTTGTGCGTATGCAACGCGGAAATCCAAGGAGCTCGAATAGTTGCATCCAGAAGTTGAAATGAAAGTACTGATGGTGTTCGTCGCATCTGACACTAAAGAGGGTACTTGAAATGTTTCTCTCGCACTGTAACTTTATTCCAGCGTTGCCTAATTTTTCGATGAGGTGAAATATGACTGATTTTTATCGCGACATGATCAATGTTCTGAATAATAATTTGATGCTTTAAAAATTCATCAAAGTTGCCGTCCTAAAATGTGGGCTACGGCTCCTACATCTTCTGATTTATGAACGACGGGTTCGGCTTAGTCGTTTCATGGTCACTCCAGGAAAACATGCTGTTAGTTTGGCATGATACTGCTAAAAATGGTAATTCTGAGCGGTTTCGTGGAAGAAGGATTCATCTGCCAAAATTTTAAAATTATTTTTATTTCTTATCCAATTTCTACGACCTTGTCATTTGAACGTGGTCTTCTTATGGATGGTGGATAGAATATTTGGACCGCGTCAAGCAGAAAGGAACCAAGCCACATCAGCTACTGCCAAAAACTGGGCAATTTAATTTTTTTCCATGAAAATGGTTGTGCGGATTTTTGTGCAAATTTCAGTGAATTTTCTGCATAGTAGGAAGAAAATTCCCTGAATTTTTCAAAGGAATCCGCACAGTCCTTCTTTTGTAAAAAATTAAATTGCCTCGTTAAATTTGGCAATAGCTGATGTGGCTTGGTTTCTTTCTGTTGAACTCGGTCCGTTTATTACTTACTTTTTTCGAACAGATATACATGAAGATTTGTCGGAGAAATCAAGTTTTTCCACGTTTCCTTGAAACTGACTCTTGGCGATTACGCCCTTCTCTAAATAGCCCGTTCAATTTTATCATTTCTCACGAATCTCTTTACATTTCGCCCTTATATGACGAGAGTATAACTGACTCTCTATGACGTTTCCGACAAAAACCTCTAGAAAATACTCGATATATAGGTGCTAATCTGCTGTCCCAAGGATGAACACCGTAAAACCTTCAGACGTTGCCATAGTTCCTTCAATAGAAGAGGATTTTACTGGAAAAATAGTGAATATTTCCCTCCAAACTTTGTAGACAACTACTATGTTGTCAACAACAATTTTATTTAAAATATCTAAAAATTTCAAGGAAAAATGTCATGAATTTCCTCAAAAATACACGTTTATCCGGGGAAATTTGGCAACTCTCGAATGTTCATACGGCGTTCTTCCTTAGCAAGGCAGTAATGTGGTTGAATGGGGTCGGGAAGGGGGGGGGGGACTATGTACATCCAATAATTCGTTAGTCAGCAATGACTACAAGATTACCACTCTTTCAGGGCCTATTTTACAGTTGATTTTTTCGAGATTTGGACACCAAGTGTCTCTATAGGTATCTACATTTACGTACAAAATATATACAGCTGAGTTAAAAAAACAACTATTCACGTATTCTCAAGTACAGGGGTGGATAAGTACTTATTTTACAAAAATGATATTGGTTATATCTCTATGTGAAGCCAGTACTTAACAGCTTTAAGTCTAAAATTCGTTTGACAAAAAAGATAAAAGTACAAAATTAGTGAGAAATTTACAATGACTTTCAATAATTTTATTTTACAATACTGAGAAAGACCGAGTGAACTTTCATCTCTATTACATGATAAAAAAAAAAAAAAAAAAAAAAAAAAAAAAAAAAAAAAAATTGTGTGGTGTTATCTCTCGAGTTTGATGCTTACGAACGCATGCATATGTCGTCACCCCTCTAACGTACCTAAGGGCGTATTTCAATTTTCATGTGAGCCCTGTTTTACATGTAAACGCATGCATTTTGGGGCTCATACGGAAGTAGAGCTGCGCCCTTATACCAGAGGAGCGACAATATAAAGATGCACTAAAAATGGAACTTTAGACAAGGAAATACAATGGCTTCAAGTTTTTATACTTGAGATTTGTCAAATCTTCAATGAAGTTACGGGTATGTTTAAAAAACTATTTTCAAAAAAGGGATGAGCAAAAGTTTCTGACCTCTAGTTATTCGACCCCCTAAATTGGATTCTTCAGAATGATAAATTAAAAAAACTGACACATTCTTAAAACGGAAGCATACGAGCAAAGCATCCAGAGTCGAGTGTTAATGTAAATGAAAATTTTAGAAAATACCATTGATTAAAAAAGGAAAGAGAAAATTGTGTATTGGTACTGTCTACAATCTTATTCAGAGAGGATGGCAAGCGATGGATCAGCAGGGTTGGGTAAGAGTCTATCTTTAAAAAACTGAAATTGTTATGGCAAATTCATTGCATTAAAGTGATTGAACTTTTAACTTTCTTTACCGCTAGTCTGTTTCTTTCGTGCTAGTGTACCTATAAAAGTACTTGAGTTCTCCGATCTGAGTCTATCAGACTGCAGTAGCCCCTCGTTATTCGCGATTTTTCTCGTTCCTCTTTTCCCATTCATCCTCTCCTTTATCCTCCTAATTTTTCTCTTCCTCTTTGTCTTCATGCCTCTTCTTCCTCCGCTTCGAAACCTCCTCCTCTTTCTCCTTCCTCTGATTTCTAATCAGTTCTCATCCGACAAACGCTATGAGTCCTCCGAACCAGTGGCGAAACGTGAACGATCGATTTTCGATTTTTCCCCATTTGAAGCTATGGTAAAGAATCGATTATTAGGTGTTCGTTGCGAAGACCCTGTCTATCGATCATTTTCCATAGGTTTAAATGGCAGATCAAACGATTCATCACAATTAACGTCACGCCCTTGCTCAGAACCGAGTCTACGAGACTACACTGACACGCTGAGGAAGAACGCCGTATGAGCATTCAAGATTTGCCAAGTTTCCCCGGATAAAATATGTATTTTTGAGGAATCTTTAGCATTTTTTACCTCAACATTTTCACATATTTTTAATTAAATTGCGCTCAAATTGGCTGAGAAAATCCGAAAAAAAAATATTCTCGATTTTCCTTGTAAATGCGAGTTTTATCGAAGGAAATGTGGCAACGTCTGATGTCTCATACGACGTTTTTCCTTGGCGCAGCACACGGTGGATCTAGTCAATAGAAGAGGTCGGACACATTTTTGGAAACTTCAAACGCTTAAAGCTCTGTTTATACAAAATTTTTGAGGTCTAAAAGTGAGTTCATTGGTTTCATCGTGAAATTTCCACCTAGAAGTAGAGTACCCATACGAGTATGTACAGATCGCTTCATGGAGGGCTCAGGGCCCAAAATTGTAGCCACCCTTCTAACCAACTTCTAACGCCCATTTCACTGCCAGTCTGCAGATTCCAATTCTAACCAAGATGGCCAATTGGCCAAGAATGTGCAGTAATGAGCGTTCTTCCGCAAAAATGAGTGAATTTATGCAAAAACTGAGTCAAATACGTGCTTAATAAACGACGGTGTGTAACGATAGTATTATTGAATCGTTCTGGATAATTGAAATTCATAGGTTGGCTGCATTTCTGGGCCCTAACTTTATTCGCAGAAGCATCGGTGAAGGCCTGATGAGTTTTCGGAGTTTCACATCCGTCCATACTCTCGCTATACAGGTACTCTACCAAGAAGCACCCCATAAAATTTAAAATGTAGCGAAATAGACGTCTAAATTTGCACTTTTAGCGAAAATTGTCATATCCGATCTCTCGAATTGAGTCGATCCACTGTGCGGCAGTAGAGGACTGACTTTGGTGGAGATTCAGGAAACGGCCCACCAGAAGCGTGAGAGGAGGACGACGAGGACAGTGCTGAGGGTCTCGACGAGGAAGTGGCTCCGCCAGGCGGACGAGCCGCCGCGGGAAAGGGCGCTGGCGTGGCAGCTGAGCCGGTGCGGGTAGAGCTCGATGAGGGGCGTCCGTTGGTTGGTGCGCGGGTCGAGGCAAGTGGCGCGGCGCACCACCTCCTGCAGCTGCTGGGCCGTCTCCAGGGACACCGTGTGGATCTGCAGCGCCTCCCTCAGCCACCGCCGGAGCCAGTGACCCAGCCAGACCAGCCCGCAGTCGCACGCCCAAGGGTTCTTCTCCAGCACCAGACCACCTTAACACACATACAGATTCCCAATCAAACAATCGATTTCCTTCAAGAATACAGAATTGAACATTTACGAGTTTTTGGTTACCTCGGATTTGGAGGGACAAGGACACAGGGAGCTGGAGGGACAAGGAAACACACGGAGAAAAAAACCTCGTGCGTGGGACCCGAAGTTTAGGTCTTATGGATCTCTGAAGTTTGTAAATTGACCATCTGAACACATAAGGTCTAGCTGTCGAGGTTTGGATCACACATCTGAAACTTCAGTTCTTACTTTTGAAGTTCTTCAGCTGGGAGAACCGAAGTTTTTCGGATGTGAAAACCGAAGTACTTCAGATGTAAGAATTGAAGTTTCAGATGTGTGATCCGAACCTCGACAACTAGACCTTAAGTGCTCAGATGCTGAATCTGAAAACTTCAGAGATCCATATGACCTAAACTTCGGGTCCCACGCACGAAGATTTTCTCCGCGCAGGGAGCTGGAGGGACAAGGAAAAAGGGAACTGCGGGTAGATCATTGAAATTGACAGACAAAGCTATAAACAAAGAGGACTTAGGGAGTATGTAGCGATCTTATTGGTTGAAACAGGTTTTTGTTATAGACTAAGAGGGAAAATGATGGACTAACTCCAGGGTCTCTCCTGGGTTGCTAGTAGTTAGTCTATTACTTACCTCCATTGTCCATTGCGACCACTCGCTTCCACCAATAGGATTGCTTCATTAACAGTTTTTTTTTTCTTTGTCTGTTGCTTTATCTATCAACTGCAATAATCAGCCCGCTGGAGGGGCACGAAGGAAAGGAACTGGAGGGAGAAGGCAAAAGGGGACTGGAGGGACGAGGACAAGGAAAAAAGAAACCAGAGGGATAAAGAAAAAGGAAACTGGAGGGACAATGAATGAAAAAGGAAACTGGATGGACAAGGACAAGGGGAACTGGAGGGATGGAAGTTTAGCACCTATAGACATGTGAATAGACGAACGAGGGAGCGTGTGTACCTAAATATGGGAGAAAAAACAATACATGAAGCGTAACTTGGGAGACATACAACGCATACAAGTGAAATCGCACAGGATTACTTTGAGTCACTTTTTTCCTGGTCAGATCAACCAAAAATATTGGTTGATTGACAAAATGTTTTGTTAAATCGAGCGGAAGCGTAGGTTAGAAGATCTAGGAATGAAGAAAGTGTCCTGCTGACTTGATGTACTCATGTTTCCCTCGATGTCACTCAGAAAATCACGACTTCCGGGTGGCCTGGGCAATAGACTATCGCCAATGCGATCTAAGTTTAATTTTGGCGACTCGCGCCTGATTTGTAGTTTTGGCTCGTTCTCCTTTAATTAAATAAAATGAGAGCGGAAATTTTGAAACACTGCAATCGAAATGCACGTCAATGCAGTGTCACCGTTTCCATTGTAAGTAAGTTATAAGATAAACGAAAACACACATAGTATGGAAATACAGCAAGGAGAAGGATGCGCGTTGATGACGGCGCAGAGATACCACTATTCGTGCTTGATGGATGTCCGTGTTGCGTCTGCAAAATTGAAGGCGCGATGGCGCGAGGCGTGAACTTGCTATGCTCCGCTCTATGCTACCGATGGGGTGTAGGGACTCGGATACAGCAGAAAAGTTAAAAAACGAGGCCCAAGTACATTTCTCCTACATTCGACTGTGTTGACACTCGATTTTTTCTTTTTCAATTTGATGTCTGATTTTTTTCTACGATATAATTCGATGCGACGGCGTCAGTCGGCAATCACATAACTCGTTTGCGGTGTCTGAAAATCTCCGTCTCTACGTTATTTTTTTAAAGGAGAACAAATTGACATGATTCCTTGAAATATTTGCAGAATTTTCTTCGCACAGAGAAGAAAAATCACGGCAGTTTTTAAGAATTGCCGTTGAGTAGTTTTCCGTTTAAAAAATAAAGTATGATAGGAAGTCTGCGACGTCGCAAACCGAGTTATGTGATTGCCGACTTACACCGTCGGATGGCTAAAGAACACTAGGGTGGTTTCACGATAACTAGGATAGTTTTGTCGCCGTAAAATACAACACATTTTTCAGTCATATTTTTTCGCATTAATCTTCAAATAAGGGTTGCGTATTATAACGCTTTCTAATGATTTATTGCTCTACTTCTCAATTAATATTATGTAAATTCCGAAAATGTGCTGTCTGTTACGAGGTAAAAAGTTAGCGTAACAGACATTTTTGCCCATTTATTTATTTAAATTTAAAACTAGAGCGATAAATTTTTGAAAAGCGTTATGACACGTAACCATGTGTAGATTAATGCAAAAAAAATTCGAGTGATTATCATTACTACTAAAAATATGACCGAAAAATGTGTTGTCTGTTACGGCGATAAAACTATTCCGGTTATCGTGAAACCATGGTACTTCATGGTGCCAGAGGAAACTTAGCCATTTTTGTAGTTTGGAGGTTAGATTTTTCATTTTTTTATACACTACATCGTCATCATAGCGCTCCCCCGTTCATCAGCTCGCGTGGTTTATATTGTGAAATGCGGTAAAGCCGCTAACCAATTTTCGTCAAAATTGTCAATTAGGTGGTATTGTTCCCAAGCCCTCGAATTACAGACCTAAATCTAAAGCTAGCAAGATTAATGCTAAAAGAAGTATTTAAGACCATTGCAGTTGTGTCAATTTTTTAAAAAAAAACGCACTCACGTTCCATCTTATTTCCGACAGTTATCGGCACTCAAGATCCAAGCAAGTTTTCAGACTTGACGGGAGCCTCGATTTTAAACCGAAATACTCGGGCGCTTTTACTTGAATTAACAAGGAGGCAACACTCAATTCGCCAGTAAACTGACACAATGGCGTAACTCAATTTCAACATGAGCTCTATAAAGCGAGCAGTCGTTTGAACGACAAGGTTTATCCAGAGGGGTATTCGCGCCCTTACACGAACGGAGCGCGGAATTCACTCCCTCGGCAGTTGTCGCCGAAAAGGGGTTGGGGTGAAAGTAAAGAGGGGAGGGGAGAGGGAGGGAGAAAGCAAGGACCGATCGACATCTTAATTGATGTATTACTCCCCATGGAGCACGAAACGCGACGCGGCGAACGCTAAATCTTGAAAATATGAAAGAGTCAAACCTGAGATACGAACCTGTTGCCAATTCGGAATCGCCAAATCAGCATTTCTCAAAGGACCACTTGACGAAATGCGAGTATTAGCACTGTAATAAATATTTGTTTACCAAAAGAAGAAGTTTTCGTCACGCACAGTGGGAAAAAAAACATATTGGATCTAGAGTCCAGACTCTTGAAAACATTGACAAGAAAAAATACTCTTGATTCAATCAGATTTTTGCTTAAATCAAAAAGAAATCCGCTCAAATTAAGAGGCTTGGTTCCCGATTTAAGCAAAAATCCGATTGAATCAAAAGTATTTTTTCTTGTCGATGTTTTTAAGAGTCTGGACTCTAGATTCAATGTGTTTTTTTTCCAGTATAGAATTTGTGAAACGCAAATTACTGATAGTAACTCCTAACCAGGATATTAACCCTTAAATGTTTAAATGGGCCTTGTTTTTTAAACTATCCTTCCGAATTTCGACATCTCTTTGGTAGTATAAATCGGCGCATTGCGGGGTTCACACCTTGCGCCATAGCGCCTTCAATGTTTTAGCTGCAACACGGACATCCATCAAGTACGAATACTTGTATCTCTGCGCCGCGTCGTCATCAACGCTTGTCCTTATCTCTGCTCCATTTCCATATTGTGTTTGTTTCCGCTTGTCTTATGATTGACTTAAAAACACGTTGCCCGTGGGTTGTGTGGGGCCGGTGCATACGAGTTTTAGATACAGGCCGGCAAATACATTGTAAAAAACGCAATAGTGTATTTTTCCTTCGGAAAATTCACTAAAAAGAATCAAACGTCAATACACGTAAGAAGGAAAAGAAAAATCAAGTGTCGGATTTTTTTTTTTTTTTTTTTTTTGAAAACTACCCCTCAAAATCTCTTACCTGGTCAACTTGATTCGACTAAATCTCTGGGTGCATAATGGTGCCGGGACTTACGAGAAATGAATTTGGGTCTAAAAATACATCCTAAGAAAGAATCGGACGTTAAATTGGGAAAAAAGAAAACATCGAGTGTGAACACAGCCGAAGATAGGAGAGACGTAACTGGGTCTTGTTTTTTTAACTTTTCTCTCGAATCTCGATATCTCATTGGTGGTATAGAGCGGCGCATTGCGGAGTTCACGCTGCGCATCATGGCGCCTTCAATTTTTCTGCTGCAACACGGACATCCATCAAGTTCGAATAGTTGTATCTCTGCGCCGTTATCAATGCTCACGCGCTAGCGACGACGGCAATAACGTGCATTCCAATTGCGGTGTTTTAACAGCTCCACTCTTATTTTATTTCTTCGATGGAGCACAAGCCAAAACTAATGCTTTGAAGTTTCATAGAGTATTTTTCGAGCAGAGAAGAATGATTAACTGAGGAATGAAGAGTGATAACTGTTCCTCCCTTATGATTGTCCACAAGGAAGTGTTGAATTCCCGAATGTAATACTACCCTGCTAAGGAAGAACGCCGTATGAACATTCGAAAGTTGCCAAATTTCCCTAGATAAAACTTGTATTTTTGACAACATTATCATGCATACCTTTCTTTGAAATGATCAGATATTATAGATTAAATTACGTACCAAATTGTCTGAAAATATTGAAAAAAAATATTCACAATTTTCCCAGTAAATTCGGTTTTTACCGAGGAAACTTGGCAACGTCTGAAGATTCATACGGCGTTCTTCCTTAGCACGGCAGAAAATATTTCACCGGTCGCCAAGAGGCCAGTGGAGGGTCCCTGGGTCCCGCACGTGGTTTCGCACTTTGGCCATCAACATGGGGCTTCCTAAGCAGGGTGTTCCTAAGCAGGGGTGGTAAATCTAAGCAGCATTTTTTAATTTTGAAAAATCCTTATATTTTCCTGATATTTTATAGAAATTCCTGATTTTTTCATT